GCGTGGCAGGGAGGGGTGACCAAGACGGTGGTGCCAAATGAGAGTCTGGTGCGACAGGGCGCGACATGAGCAAGGGGCTGCAAGCTGACCTGACGTGGACGCTGACGCAGCTACCTGAGGAGGCTCAGTCGTCAGTGTGTACAGACTCGACCCAGGCCGACGGATGAACGTGGCCAGGTGACGGCCCGTCCGTGTGCATGTGCAGATCGACACACGCTGACCCCCAGGAGTGGTGGTGCTGACTATCGCATCGTGGAGGGCAGTGGTACTCACTAAGTTCGCAGAGAACGAGGGGAGGTGAAGATCTGAGAGTAAGCCAGACGGAACCGCCGGACACGGGAGAACAGTGGAGGAACGGGCAAGAACTGGGCCCCCTGAGAGCCAGTCAGACAGCAACACGTGTAGGGAGTGGTGTGACTGTGGTACTGTCGCGAAAGAAACAGGGGGAAGCACCTGAGTCAAGCGTGAAAGTGTGCAAGGCCTTAGCAGGCGCAGTACCAGAGAGAGTAGACTCACTAGCACCTGGAGCAGCAGCCTCTATACCTGGGTCGAGCGGCACACACAGGTAACAGTCACCCTCAGCACTAACATTGAATGCATACATGTCAGCAAGGATAGCATCATAGTCAAGAGCAAATATATCCACACCCTGTCTAAGCAGCTCTAGCCAGCGGGGGAGCTCATCCGCGTCGCCAAACTCTGCACGCCAGGCGTCGCTCAGACAGGAGAAACAGCGAGACTGTTTGTGACCAACTGTCCCGCAAGTCTGACCAGCCCGATCACCTATGCAAATGATGTACGGGCAGCGAGCATTACTCTAAGACGCCCCACGCTGAGCGTACCACTCACGAAGCTGCTGGGGCGTAAGGGTCTCGCGTGGACGCCGCTGCAGCTGTATTTGGCCACTGCCAGAGACTCCCTACTGAACAGCTCCACGGCGACTGCCACTACGGCCGCCGCCGCCACTCCTTCTAGCGTACCATTCACGAAGCTACTGGGGCGTGAGGGTCTCGCGCGGACGCTGCTGGAGCTGCATCTGGCCACCGCCAGAAACTCCCCACTGAACAGCTCCACGGCGACTGCCACTACGGCCGCCGCCACCCCTCCCACTGCTGCCACCACCGCCGCCACCACTCCCACCGCTACCACTAAGACGTCATAGCGGGCAAAGCAAGGAGGAGTGCGACCAGTACGGCAGCACGCAGGGAAGGCAGGGCGGCGAGCAGGCACTAGGGTAGGTCGGGGCGGCGCACGGTTAGGGAAGGGCGGCGCATGGCCAGAGCAGGGCGGCACGCTGCAAGTAGGGCGGCGTGCGGGCAACGGAGGGCGCGCAGGAAGGCAAGGGCAGCGCGCAGGCTGCAGAGGGCGGCGCGCGGGCTGCCAGGGGGGACGCGACGGGCAGGGGCAGGGCGGAGCGCGGGCAGAAGGACGGCATGCGGGCTGCAGAAGGCGGCGCGCGGGCAGACAGGGGCGGCACGCGGACAGGCAGGGGCGGCGCGCGGCCAGCAGGGAGGCGCGCGGGCTGCAAGGGGGTGGCGCGCGGGCAGGAAAGGGGCGGCGCGCGGGCCCTAGTGTGACGCGACGAGCAGGGCAGGGGCGGCGCGCGGGCCCTAGGGCGACGCGATGGGCAGGGCAGGGCGTCGCGCGGGTCCTAGGGCGACGCAACGGGCAGGGCAGGGCGTCGCGCGAGTCCTAGGGTTTAGCGCGACGGGCAGGGGTAGCGCGACGCGACGCAACGGGACAGGAAGGGCAGCGCGACACGAAGCGACGCGACGGGACGGGATGGACTGCGCGACGCGACGCGAAGGGACGGGACGGACAGGCAACGCGACGCGGACGGACGGGACGGACGGGACGGGACGGGACGGACGGCGCGACGCGGACAGGCAGCGCGACGCGGACGGACGGGACGGGACTGAAGGCGCGACGCGGACGGGCAGCGTGACGCGGACGGACGGGACGGGACGGACGGCGCGACGCGGACGGACAGCGCAGCGGGCGCTAGGGCACGAGAGCGACGTAACGGCAGGCGCAGCGGGCGCTAGGGCACGAGAGCGACGTAACGGCAGGCGCAGCGGGCGCTAGGGCACGAGAGCGACGTAACGGCAGGCGCAGCGGGCGCGAGAGCACGAGAGCGACGTAACGGCAGGCGCGATAGGCGCTAGGGGACAGTACGAGCGTAACGGACACAAGGGTACGGGACAGGCTCGGGCGCTATGGACGTGAACGAGAGGAACGGGATCCCACAGGATCCTAACCTAGGTGATACCATGTCAAGAATGAAAGTGTTGGTTCATTGATGTGGGTTGGGGTACATATAAGAAACCCTAACATCTGTACCCCCTACGACAAACCTCACTATAGGCTACAACATTTGACAAATAACACCATGAGGTTATGATTAACAATATAGTTGAACATCGACCTTACATTCCACGTTTTTTCAGCGATAGAATATCATTAGAGCTCTTTGACTCCAGGGGGCTTGATACCTCTCAACATAGGCCTGCGCTAATATTAGGGGCCATATGGTATAATTGCTAGGCTTCATATTTCGTGCAGTAGTTGTAACCACAGTTTAGATTCTTGCATTCCTTAGACCCTCTTCTTTGACAACGCATAACACTAGTAGAGTAGAGGTTACTCAAGAAGTGATGACAATCAGAGTTTCCATTATCTATACTATTTTGTAACAAAGTTATACCTGTACACCCAATTTTAATAGTGCGGAAGATCTCCTTCAAACGAAAAAGAGCGCCAAATTGTTGACCACTTCACCACCGCTGCTGATCGCGATTCCAAATGCCGGCTCTTGTTCCCACCGGTTTGTTCATCACCCCAGATTATGGCGTGTCACTTGGGGTTCGGGATTGTTCAGTCAAGTCGAACTTTAAATGGTAACATTAGTCGCTAATGTCGCAAAGGTCACGGGCGAGAACACGAACATACATGCAGCACGACACCCTCTTGACAAGCAAAGCGGCAGTTCGACTGTCCGGGCAATTTTTGCGTGTGTATTCGGTGACGGATTCGGGTCCTGGCTCGAACCACCGATGAAGCCAGCTCGAACTATTCGAATAAACGGTTCGAGCCAGGGTCGAATTTACAAAAGTCCGCTTAAAGTTACGCACCCTGACCTGATCTGAAGAGAGAGACTCAGGCAATCTGAAGCGGGACTCTGGCCTACACACGTACTCGTGTTTATCCCCTCCCCTCACAAGGACCATTCACTCCTCCCCTGATTCGGGAAGCTGTATCCGTTACCAGATTGATGGCCTGAAATATGATATGCCACACTCTTTTTCACACCGTGTGACGGCACATAGTCGTTAGCCTGAATCATGCGCAGTACTCGTTTTTCCCGGCCTGTCGCGTGGCCTCGCTCTGCAAATGTCGCAGCTTGCATTCTCCTCTCGGCGGCCCTCGCGCTCACTGCCGCCGGCGCCGCTGCATGCTCCGTTTCCAGCGCTAATCGCCCTCTGCCGCTCCGAGATGCCACACGTCCGTCCAAACAACGCCCTCTGTCTCGCGATCGACCCAGCCGCGCCCGACGCTCGCTCTTCAAGCTCGCCGCTACCAGCGCCGCCGGCGCCGCCGCGAGCGCTGCAAGTCCCGTCCTCGCAGACTCGCAATGTGAGTCCCGGCGCTCGGCGTCAGTTTGCAACATTATCCACTCAAATGTGAGTCACTTCGCGGTGCCCTCGAGTTCTCATGGAGCAGAACCTCCGCGCATGCAAGTCACTTCTGAGACATCTTGAATAAAACAGTGGGATGCTGCTCCAATAAGATCCAATTTGATGCTATCCTCCCACTCACAAAGAGTGTCTTTGTAGGAATCAAAGCAGTATCGAATCGAGTGTTCTCGCTGTCGCTATATTCCGTCAAGTATCCAACTTGAGCTACCAACCCACTGGGTTATCTACCCTCGTTATCTACCTACCCACGTGAGCTACCTACCGACATGAGCTACCTACTCACGCGAGCTACCTACTCACGCGAGCTACCTACCCACGTGAGCTACCTACCCACGTGAGCTACCTACCCATATGAGCTACCTACCCACGTGAGCTATCAACCCACGTGAGCTACCTACCCTCGTGAGCTACCTACCCACGTGAGCTACCTACCCACGTGATCTACCTACCCACGTGAGCTATCTATCCACGTGAGCTACCTACCCACGTGAGCTACCTACCCACGTGAGCAACCTACCTACGTGAGCTACCTACCCACGTGAGCTACCTACCCGCGTGAGCTACCTACCCACGTGAGCTACCTACCCACGTGAGCTACCTACCCACGTGAGATTACCTACGTGAGCTACCTACCCACGTGAGCTACCTACCCGCGTGACCCACGTGAGCTACCTACCCACGTGAGCTACCTACCCACGTGAGATTACCTACGTGAGCTACCTACCCACGTGAGCAACCTACCTACGTGAGCTACCTACCCACGTGAGCTACCTACCCGCGTGACCCACGTGAGCTACCTACCCACGTGAGCTACCTACCCACGTGAGATTACCTACGTGAGCTACCTACCCACGTGAGCTACCTACCCATATGAGCTACCTACCCACGTGAGCTATCAACCCACGTGAGCTACCTACCCTCGTGAGCTACCTACCCACGTGAGCTACCTACCCACGTGAGCTACCTACCCACGTGAGCTACCTACCCGCGTGAGCTACCTACCCACGTGAGCTACCTACCCACGTGAGCTACCTACCCACGTGAGATTACCTACGTGAGCTACCTACCCACGTGAGCTACCTACCCACGTGAGCTACCTACCCACGTGAGCTACCTACCCACGTGATCTACCTATGTGAGCTACCTACATGTGAATAATGTTCATTCATGCAGGGACCTATGCTACCAAGATTGGGTTCCGGTACAAGAACGGGGACGTATCCCTAGCAATGGTTGTCCCAGCAGTAAGCCGGCGCCGCCGTTTGTGTTAAACTGCCCCCATCTCCCCTTCGATTGTGCTGGCAGTGAAGGTGCTGGTGCAGCTGAAGCAGGCGTGGGGCATTTGGGCGGGCAACAGCAACGCCACCACGGCGTGCTATGCATGGACTGGCGTCACCTGCAGCCCCCAAGGGCTCGTCGTTTCCCTGTGAGTCCCGATAACTTGAAAGTGATAGCCCGTATTTGGGGTCCCTGGGAAGCGACCCCCTCATCCAACGAGGACATTGGCGGCACCAAGGAGGGATGGGGTTAACGCCTGTGGTCTTGCACAAAGGGTCCACTACGCAACTGTTGTGCTTGTGGTTAGAAAAACCCACGATTTGTCCCAGTCCAGTCTAGGGCACTGGGCGTTATATCACCCCTTGATATCCTTCTTTACCCCTCCTTCATTGTCCTTTGTGCTCTCCTTACCCCCAGTGTGTATCACTGTTTCGCCCTTCTATTGGCTGCGCTGCTTGCAATGATCGTATAATAATTTCAAACGGGCTGGATTTTTTTGTGTGTACGGGGAGGGGGATGGGCTGAAACTGGAAGATGTAGAATGGTGGGATGGGGGAGGGATGGGTACGGGGAAGGGGGTTGTGAGGAATGGGAGCCGGTATTGTTTGCGCATTGGCAGGATTGCAAAGCCAGTCAACGAAGCCGATCCTACCCCTAGTGGCTCCATACCTGCTTCCATCACCAGTCTCGCCACTCTGCAAAACCTGTCCGTCAACACCCTCTCCTTACCCACTTACTTCCATCTTGCATGCACCATACTCTCGTATGCCATGCCCAAACCTCGTTTGTCATGCCGCAACCTCGTTATGCTCCGTCCTTCCATCTCGTTCTTACGTTTCATCACATGCCACAACTGACCATACCCTCATCCTGCCCTTGCATGCCTCCCTTGTGCGCTAGCCGGACCAGAAGCTGTAGCCTTACGTAGCCATAGATCTCAAGACTCCATACTTCTTCCTGTGCTCCCGTCTCACAGGGATCTGTCCTACACTGACCTGGTGGGGCCCATTCCATCCCTTGCAAGTCTCACCGGCCTCACCCACTTGTTCATGCTCTCGTCCATGGCTCAAAACCAAGGCAGCTTACTGCTGGACTGCATCACTGCTTCCAATCCAATATGCCCATCCACGACCCTCCTCCACCCCTCGGCAACCACTTATCCTGCTCTTTCCAGTTCAATTTCTGCTCTTAGCCAGATTGCAAGTCGGGACTCATTTGGTTCTTCGATTCCACGACAGAACATTGATTTATGTTTTTCTCCTAAACCCTTCACTACTGTGTGTGGAATGTGTGTGTGTGTGTGTGTGTTTTTTTTTTTTTTGCCATTGAATGTGCCACGTGCACCCTTCATACCTGCATGCATGTCACGCGTGCACCCACTGAATATTGCTGCATGCATGGCACATGTGCACTCAGAGCCGTTGGAATGTTTGGCAGCGGCCTGACTGGCAATCTGGATGGACTGTCTTGGCTCTCCTCCCTCACCAACCTTCAAACACTGTACGCCGCCCCAGAGGACACTGTTCGCTCAACACGGCCCAAACTTGGTTCCTCCTGGGCCGGGCCACCTGAAAAACAGGCCGAACCTTGTGCGGCCTGCCTGTGGCCATTTAGGGCCTGGCTTTGGCCTCTCTAGGGTTGCCATAGAAACGGCCCGTCCGCTCCCGTTTTTGGCCTGACCCTGGCCACCTCGGCCTGACCCGGCCCAGCCCGGTGGTAATATGGGCTACATTTCTAGAGTATCAACCGTGCAGTTTTAGAATGCTTGCAGCACCATGGTCGTTGTGCATAAGCGTTGTATTGCACATGTGCCTAATCGAATCCAACCTATTCATGATTTGGATGGATCCCCTTTGGCTTCCCTCTTGGTTACACCTTATCCACCCAACCCCTCCTAGCTTGTTCTCTGAAAATCTATGTGCTTCCTTCTAATGAATAGATCCTATTCTTATTCCGATGTCCTACACCCCGCATGGATACTCCTATGCCGTACTTCCCTTCCCTTTATCACCCAGGGGTCTAATGGTGGCGGCATTCACAGGGGACTTGTCCTCTCTCCACGTTCTTTCACACCTGAGAAAACTTGAGAAGCTGTAAGTAAGCATCACTGTATTGTTGTGGTCATCATGTTCCTTTTCTTAACTGCATGTTACCATCTGAATGCTCTATACCAGCTCGCAAGTGGCAGCGATAGTGCATTCATTCCTGCCTATTTCACGTGCATGAGTGCATGGAACGCAATGGGCTGAGAGATTTTTGAGGCTCCTTAAAAAACTCGCAATTTGAATTGATACTTCATGCATTCTTGCCTATTATGCGTGCATGAGCGCAGGGAACTCAAAGGGCTCTTTAACGCCACAGGGGAGATACCCGGAGAGATTCAATACATGACTGCCCTCACTGGACTGTAAGCTGCACACAAAATGAAGCAAGTTTGTTAGCCAGGCATGACTGCAAATTTTTGCTTTTTGCTTGTGTACATGACATGCTCTTTCCTTCCTCCCCGCAGTAAAACTCGACTTGTGTTACCGCCTTCATTGAGAACAGAGGATGTTTTGCACCCTGTGCTTGCCTTCCTCTCTGGCAGGGGCCTCAACTATATTGTATCTGTGCAGTTTCCTGATTGGGTTACTCGCCTCACCAACCTTCAATATCTGTGAGCTACCCCTACCTTTCTCTCAGTCTCCACCATTGCCACAAGTGCCATGGCTGTAAGTGGGCTTGTCTCAATGTGGTGACTCTTGCCGGTCTTTCGCTTTTGCGCAGGAGTGTGGACTCTGACTATCCACAACGGCATGGACGATTGATGAATGACGATATCTCTCAGCTCACTGCACTCACCAGACTGTGAGTTTAGTGTGCGTGGTCCAAGTGGGCTCTTAACTAGGTGAGAGAGTGCATTATATCAGCTAATAGTCTAATAATTGTGAAGTCCTACAAAACTCAGGTTTCCACTTAAGAAATCTACTGGTGTGGTGAGGTGTTGGAACATAGATGATACGTACGGGTAGGCATGTGCGCCGAAGAGCACGCTGGGCCCAGGTCAGTGGTGGTTTTTTTTTTTTTTTTTTTTTTGGGCTTCAGGCCGGCTTCCAGCTGGCCCTAACCAGCCTGAACCAGTCCAAATAGTGGCCCGGGGTGGCCATGCGGTGACTTAACGAATTTGAATTGGCAGTCTGTTCGCCCTTCTGTCTGCTATTTTTCCTCCCTCCTACTAGCCTGCGCGACCTTTGCACCTTGGGTCGGGCCTGGCCCGGACCAGACCATACCTAGCCCGGCCATGGTGGTAGGGCCAGCCAAGGTCGGCATTCAAACCATGACAGTCAGACCCAACCCAGCCGGGGGCAAGCTGGGGTGGGTCGGCCGTGGCTTGGATTGTGCTCATGCCTACATTCAAGTGTGACACGTTTCCAGTGATATGGATGAACTGTAGAATCTCACTACTATAGCAGCTTGATAGAGCTCAGAATCAAGATTCCAACGCACCAAAGATTGTAGGAAACAGTCCACTATAGCCAGAGATACACACTAACAGTGGTAATGACTTGGTTGATTTATGGTTTACGCTCTCTGGTTTTATACTAGGACGCAATACAAAATAAAAGCACATAAGAAAGTGTCGACCCGGGTTGCACGTTGAATTTCGTCGACGCGAAATCCGGAGCCTTGAATTTCGCCGAGCGAATTCCATTGACTGGAATTCCGTAGACGAGAATTTCCGCGACCAGAATCCCGTCGACCACCGACTGTAACTCCCGTGCGATTTCAGTTGACTTCGACACTTCGCTGCCGAGTTTCAAACCGAACGCGACCCGAGATCGATTTCGCCAAACTGTCCCCAATCTGTCCCCAAACTGTCCTTACGAGACACTTTCGGGACACTTGAATCGAAAGGTCTCCAGTTCGAAACTCGCATGCACCATAACCAGCGCCTTTACAGAATCTGTCATGAATCTGTCCTGAGACACTTTCAGGACAGATTTGAAGGTCATGAGTTCGAATCCCAGCGCAGACATTTTGTTGCTCATGGCAGCATTTCCTTCTAACACGCTCCCCTTGTTGTCAGGAGCACGCTGGACCAGTCCGGCTGCTGCACAGCATCGGTTGAAGGCTGCCTTGTCGAGCCGCTTCGTGAAGAATTCCGCGGGGTGCGCCGTCGTAGGGATGTGGTGCAGCTCCAACTTCTTCATGCGCACCATGTCCTGCAGCCACATGTGGCGACAGTCCACATGCTTCATGCGCCCCTGCAGCCTGCCCGTCTGACTGAGCTGCACCGCTGACATGTTGTCGACATACAGGGTGGTGGGAACACCCTTCTTGAGCAGCTGAAACTCCCACAACAGGAACCTTAGCTTGCGCCCCTCCTTTCCCACTTCCACCGCAGCCACAAGCTCGCTCTCGGTGGAGGAAAGTTTGGTCGCACCCTGCATCTTCTTGGCTTGCCAGGAGACGGCAGCTCCGCCAAGCTTAAAGAGGTAGCCTCCCGTGGACGATCGGTTCTCCTTGTCGCCCGCACCAAGAGAGTCAAACTCTCTGGTCCTCCCTTGAACAGCAACCCCATATCCGGTCAGGCAGCCCAGTAGGAGAGTGTGCGGAAGAGCTCATGCCAATGCGCATCCGTCCTGAGGTGTGCACCTGCTGCAAGGCGACTGCATGCAAAAGAGAGGTCAGGACGGGTTGAGATGGCTGCAAACTGCACCATGCCGAGAATTGACAAGTACTCGGTCATGGTACGGTTGGCAAATTGCCCGACATCCTGCTTGGCAAAGCTGGCAGAGGAGAGAGGAGTGATCGGCTGCGTCTTTGGTGGCGCCCCCTTGAAGAACCGCTACTGCACCTTTGCCACGTATGCATTCTGGTGCAGGAGGAGTGTCCTGTTGGGGCGATCTCGCACAATCTGCAGCCCCAGGTAGCGCTCCACTGGCTCCACCTCATGGAGCTGAAACGCCTTGGCCAGCAGCCCCTTCAGGTCCTGCAGAAGCTGCTGGTCTTCACTTGCCGCTAGCACGTCATCCATGTAGATTAGCAGCCACACGCGCTTCCCGCTCGCCCCATCCTTGTAGTACTGGGCCTGGTCCACAAGGCTCTTCTTGTACCCCTCTACAAGGAGCACCTTGTCCAGCTCCTTGTACCACAGAAAGGGACTTTGCTTTAGCCCGTAAAGGCTCTTCTGCAGGAGGCACACCTTGCTGCTACCGTCGGTGAAGTAGGACGGCTGCTGCATGTAGATCTCGTGGTCGATGGTGCCGTGAAGAAATGCATTCTTCACATCAAGTTGCAGCAAATCCAGGTCCATAGCTGCTGCGATTGAGAGGAGCACGCAAACGGTGGTGTAGCTGCCAACAGGAGCGTAAGTGTCGTCGTAGTCGATGCCGAAGTGCTGGCTAAAGCCCTTAGCCACGAGCCTGGCCTTGTACTTCTCCACGGTACCGTCAGGTCGCAGCTTCTTCTTCAGCAGCCACTTGACGCCAACAGTTTTGCGACCTTTGGGTAGGTCAGCCAACGTCCAAGTGCCTTGCTTATCAAGGCTCTCCATCTCCTCCTTCATAGCAGCCCACCATTCCTTGCCTTCAGGTCCGGTCAACGCAGCTGCCAGGTCGAGGATGACACCTCCCCAAGCGCCTTCCTCCTCCTCATACTCGTCCGGGTACTCCACTTCGTCATCGCTGTCCGTGTCGCAATCGTCCTCAGCAAAGTACGCCACGTCGTACGGGTTGTCCTCATCGTCCGCATCCAGGGCCGTCATGGCTGATGGCTGAAACCGTACGGGTGGCACCCCCTTGTTAGGCCTGCTGGAGCGACGTGGGGGTGGTGGAATGGGCTGGATGGGGGGAACTGCAGGTGAAGGCTCATGCTCATGGGCCATTGGTGACTGCTCATCCACTGCTACTTCTTCTTCCTCTTCGTGATCAGCCATGCTGGTGCCAACCTCCAGAGGACCATCCTCTGGTCCCACGGGCGCCAAATCAGCAACGGAGGGTGGACAGAGAGGAGGAGGTGCAGTAGGTGCCTTGCTGCCCAAAGGGCCCACCGAGCAATCGAGGGGTTGCTCGCCCCCTTGCACGGACGGTACCGGGACCACGATGACGGTACGTGGTGGCGGCGGATTCTGCTCGGGGTCGTGGGGCTCAGGAAAGAGAGGTGGGACTGAAGCAAAGGGTGGTGTGGACTGGTCATTCCCGTCACCCACGCGTGCACGCCACTTCTGCCACCGTTCAAGTGACATGTCATAAAAACGTGTATCTCGGGTAATGACCATGCGCTTCGACTCAACATCCACCACACGCCATCCCTTGCTTTCCATGCTCATGCCCAACTGCATGCCCCAACGAGTCCTGCTTGCAAGCTTCCCCTCACGCTCATGTTCAGAAATGAGGTATTGCATCATGCACCCAAACACACGGACCATGGACACAACGGCTTTGAATTTGAACACCACTAAATGAGGGGTCACACCATGGGGCAGGGTGGACTGGTGTAGACGGTTTACCACCCACAAGAACTGCTGGAAAGCGAAGTGCCACCAGTGTGCTTTCACCCCCATGTGCCCCAACATCACACGCATGCCCTCGGTTACAGTACGGTTGCGACGTTCAGCCACACCGTTCTGCTGGGGGGTCGAGGGGCAGGAAAGTTGACGCAAAATTCCTTGTTGCTTCAGAAACAACAGAAACTCATTCGACATAAACTCCCCTCCCCGGTCCGACCGCAACACCTTCCTCATTCCGATTTAGCGTTCAGCTTCGGGAATCCATTCCTTGAAGGCAACAAGCGCGTTGTTGTTCAGCTTCAACGTCTTCCCCCAGGTGTAATGTGAGGCGTGGTCCACGAACAGAATGTAGTACCTGCTTCTATCCATGGCTGGGGTCTGAAATGGACCGCACACGTCAGTACGGACCAGCCCAAGAACCTGCTCCTCGCGCTCGTCATGCAGCAGAAATGATTCGCGAGTGAGTTTGGCTTCATGGCAAGAGATGCACGGCATATCCTCACCTCCTTTCTCCAGGTCCATGCCTAACACGCCACCGCTCGTAGCTGTCCGCTTCACCGCATCAAAGTGGACATGTCCAAGGCGAGCGTGCCACAGGTTGGGCGTTGTTTTGGAGCCCACCACATACGTCTTAAGGCTGGCCGCTCCATCAGCAACCACCTTAGTCATGCCATTGCATGTCACTGCAGCCATCGTGCCGTTGCATGCCGCTCCAGCCGTCGCGCCGTTGCAAACCGCTGCAGCCCCTGTGCCGTTGCTTGCTGGCCACGGTTTCAGGTCAAGGCAGAGAAGACGATGGCGGTAGCGTGCCGTTGCAGCCACTTGTCTTCCCGGTGCGATGACAGAGGTGACAATTTTTTTGGTTTGCAGTTTCGCTCCTTTGTCGGTGAGCTGCCCAGGAAAGACCAAGTTGGCCTTCATTCATGGCACAAAGAGGACATCATGCAGGGTCACACGCAAGCCGTTAGTGCCCTTCAGCAAAACCTCGCCAACACCGGCAACTTCCTGCATAGACCCATCAAACCTTTTGACGGATTTCGTTGCAGATGGGTCACGGATCACCGTGAACCACTCCTTGCGGCCGGTCATGTGTTGGGAGCATCCCGAGTCAAGGAACCACAAGTTCTTGTCGTCGGCCAGCAACTTTGCAGCCGAACACGCGACGGTGAGCGCCACGCCTTTCTCGTCTCCTTCGACTACGTTCGCGGCTGCCGCGGGTATTGTATCCTTCGTCTTGGGGCACTTGGCAGCCATGTGTCCCTCCTCATTGCAGTTGTAGCAGTGCCCCTTGAAGGGGGCTCGCTTCTTCTCCCGCATGCCATCCTTCTTCTTGTCCATCTGCTCCCTTCCTCCTTTCCCTTCTTTCCCATTGACCCCCGTTGTAGCCACGATCGTGTTGACAGCGCCAGAGAAAGCCGATGTGTCACTGGTGATCTGCTTGTAGCTCTGTTCAATGGAGAGGGTCTGCTCCTCCATCAACACCTCGCTGCACACGCGTTCCACCGTCATGTCAGGGCTGGAAATGTCGAGCTTGCGGCGAAGAATTCCGTACTCCGGTGGCAGGCCCTTCAGCACGTGAGCGGCAAACGTGGCCATGTGGACCTCCTGTCCAATGGTCAGCAGCTCCGCTCGGATGGTGCGGGCCCTATTACAGAAGGATTCCGCCGTCTCATCATCTCCCTTCCTGAGTTGGGCTAACTAGGTGTGAAGTAGGGAAGCGTGGAGGGTATCACGAGCTTGATAAGTAGACAAGATATATGCCCATGCTAGCTGCCCGGCTTTCTCTTGCTGGAAGAAACCAGAGATAGACATTCGGATGGGTGGAGAAACACATCGGTTCAGCACAAAGAATGCAAGCATTTGGCCCTTTGCGTACTCTCTTCGTTGCAAAGGGTTGTTCGGGGCTGGGCTTGGTGCTGTCCCATTGCAAAACTGCCACAAATCAGCACATTGGAGCTGAGGTCGGATGGCGCTGACCCATGCGGTAAGGTCATGCCTTCCCTTCAGCAGCGGCGTCACGGAGATGTGCTCTACTCCAAACTTGAATTGGCCGTAGCTCGCCCCGATCATTCCCGTGTCAATGGTCGGTGCAACAGCTCCTCCACCAACGCCCACGGCAGTTGGAGCCTCATGCACAGCTCCTCCTTCACCGGTTCCTCCTGGCTGGCCGCTCGCGGGTGTTTGCTCCGCCGCGCGCTCCCGAACCATGCGTAGTAGACGACCGTCCACAATGAGGTCGACCTCCTCATCCCACAAGTTAGGGTGGTGCTCACGAACGGACGCCTCCAACTCCTGATGGGCATTCAGGCCCGCAGCGGGAATTAACCACTCCATCCGCGGTCAAAACGAGCGTCGGCCACACCAACGTGGGAACGAAGTGATGGGAGGTCTAAATCAAGCCGCTAGTTGGATCGACGCAGATAACGTCGCTCTGATACCATGTAGAATCCCACTACTATAGCACCTTGATAGAGCTCAGAAGCACGATTCAAACGCACCAAAGATTGCAGGAAACGGTCCACTATAGCCAGAGATACACACAAACATAGCAGTGGTAATGACTTGGTTGATTTCTGGTTTGTGCTCTCTGGTTTTATACTAGGACGCAATACAAAATAAAAGCACATAAGAAAGTGTCGACCCGGGTCGCACGTTGAATTTCGTCGATGGGAAATTCGGAGCCTTGGATTTCGCCGAGCGAATTCCATTGACTGAAATTCCGTAGACGAGAATTTCCGCGACCAGAATTCCGTCGACCACCGACTGTAACTCCCGTGCGAATTCCGTTGACTTCGACACTTCGCTGCCGAGTTTCAAACCGAACGCGACCCGAGATCGATTTCGCCAAACTGTCCCCAATCTGTCCCCAAACTGTCCTTACGAGACACTTTCGGGACACATGAATCAAAAGGTCTCCAGTTCGAAACTCGCGTGCACCATAACCAGCGCCTTAGCAGAAAGTGTCATGAATCTGTCCTGAGACACTTTCAGGACAGATTTGGAGGTCATGAGTTCGAATCCCAGCACAGGCATTTTGTTGCCCATGGCAGCATTTCCTTCTAACATGAACACAGTGCACCTTCTCAAATGTCTCCTTGCTGCATCGTCGTGTCCGCTAGGGCAAAAAATGCGCTCACGATTCCTTCAATGGTTTATCGTGAACCCACCAGGTAAGAACTCAGGTCTCCATCTGTTGCTTGCTCCCACGCTTAGCAGGTCCTTCATAGGAAACAACCTGGAAGGGTACCTTCCCAAGGGCTGGTCCACTCTGGTCAATCTGCTGGAGCTGTGAGTCAGTGCTTGCCATCCATGCTGCCATGCTGCCATGCAGTGTTTCTACCGTGGCGTCATGCTGGCCCACTGCTGTGCTGCTGGCAGCACCATGATCCCCATTGCACCATGCCCATGCTTAGCCTGTCGATTTCCAGCAACGCATTCTTCTAAACACTGCGATGCTAACCGTCCAGGGTTAGATTGGTACACCCCTCTGGTACAGTACATAACCTGCATTAGGCATGAGCATAGGCCAGAGCCATGCTGGCTTGTCGCTTATCAAATTGAAGCAAGCCCAGCGAGCTGGCCTATCCTCATTAATGAGTGATCAGAAATTACCCCCTCTAACTGACTGACCAATGTTGACCTATCCTCGATAATGAGTGAAAAAAATTACCCCCTCTAACTGATACATTCCTAGCTGACCAATGTTGACCTATGCTCATTGATGAGTAATCAAAAGCTCGTCAAATGTTGGTTTTGGTAGACAATGTTGAATGACCACTTTGATGTTTAGAACCGGACCTCTATTCAATACGATCCTGCCAGCCAAAATATAGGGCCTACAGAAGGGCAACCATCACCCCTGTCTTATAGCAACATCCCACTTATCAACTCTTCTTTAGCGTTGGAAATAAGCCTTCACAACCGCTTGGTGGGACACCCAGCGCCCCATCTCCCCCTCTCCCTGCCCCCCCACCCTACCCCACCCCACCCTACCCCCACCCCCCCCCCCCCCCTCCCATCCTCCCCCACCAACCCTACCCCCCTCCCCTTCCCTTCCATCTTGTTCTACATGTTCCACCAGCACAACGCAAGGCCAAAATTGCCCCCTCTAACAGAAACACTCCCAGCTGACCAATGTTGAACAAGAATGAGTGTAGTTTCTATCCATGCATGCAACCTAATTAATATAGACAAGCACCAGGTTAAACTTCCTGACCAGCGTTTGCACAGTCGTGTGAATACAAGTCACATACATCAAATGAGGACAAGAGCAATAACCCTCCCAATGGCCTTTCTGGGCCATCCGTTCCCTTCCCTCTATATCAGATATTTAAAGTCCAACCAATTTCACGGAACAATTCCGGAAACATTCTCGGCCCTAACAAGCCTAACTATTATGTAAGTTTTCTGTGTCCTCCCTCTTCCCATCGTCAAACCCCCATTCTGTTCTTGTGTATATCCCGCGTACGTTCCTCACTCAATACACTACTTGATCTGCCCCCCTCTACTGCAGAGACCTTTCGTGGAATCAACTGTCTGGTTCTATACCCCCTGCATTTGCCTCCAGCGTCCAGTCAATGTATGTCAATCCTCCCTCCACCTCCTGCCCCACGCTCACAAGCCTGGCCCAAGCTTCTGGGGCTTTAAACCGGACCCGATCAGGTTCTGACCAAACTCCATCGAACTCCTTTTCTGGCCGAACCAAACCTGTTCAGTATTGTAGAACTTTATCTTGAATATTCTATGTTCGAGGTTCTCCATTCTTTAGGTGAACTGCAAAAGTTTGGTCAAACTTTTGAGGGTTCGACTGCACTCGAACCTTGTTAAATTAGACATTGTAATTGTTTTTCTGATAAAATCACATAAGCAGGACTTGTTTCTGGGAGATTTTTGTGTTGTGAACCTGTTGAGCAAGGTTTTGGGGAACCAGATCTGGGAGTACAAACATGGAACAGCACAATGAATTCTTGAAGAAGGAATTAGAGACAAAGTCGAAACAAACATAAGCATCAAGTCCAAAAAACACTCACAAGTCATCCTACATAAAAACAGCCATGTCCAAGAAACGCAGTCAGAAGTCATCCTACATACAAGTCAGGTGCGAGCGCGTCAAACATGCGAATGTTTATAACCTCACATTCCCAGCTACAACACACCACCACCCTAGCGCCTGCCCAACCCCCCAGCTGCTGTCCCAGTCGCCTCTCCCTCCTCCTCCTCCTCCTCCTCCTCCTCCTCCTCCTCCTCCTCCTCCTCCTCCTCCTCCTCCTCCTCCTCCTCCTCCTCCTCCTCCTCCTCCTCCTCCCCCTCCTCCTCGTCCTCCTCACATTTCACCTCCCCCTCGAGGCCCGAGTCTACTGCTGCTGCTGCACGGATGGGCTGTGCTCCATCACCAGTACGCGCATCAGGGTGTGTTGCATACCATGATCTGAGGATCATGCATGCAAACGCACGCTCGGCGTTCAATCGACGATGCCGCCACGTGATGAGGTGGCAGGAACCACCAGGTAATTCCTTGTCATCCCTCTCAAGGTTCTTCGCAATGCGCCAGAAGTCGAGGGGTGGTACGTCTGTGACGTTGGTGCCTCCAACATATCCTTCCACTTCATCACCCAAGGGTCTAGACCCTCTAGCAGCCCGAGACGCTGAAACTCGCGCCATCAAATCACGCGTACTCCCGATGTCCTCATTTGCTCCGATATCGCCGCTGGAATGGGTGGAGGCACAGGCATCATCTTTGCTACCCGTGTGAGGTAGGGTGGTGAAATTGACCACCTAACCTGACACCTTCCCGTTTCTTGCGAGTGAATATGGGTCTGTGGCGAAGTATATTACTAGCCGCGACAAACCCCACGAAGTTTGTCCGCGAACTGTTCGTGTTCGGCGCGGCGTATGTTTTTTGAGATTTCCCAAAGAACTTTGGGCGAACCGGTACTGTTACGCTGTTTGACTCGAAACCAAACATTTTGGCTTCACAGGTAGTCGAACCAGTTCGAGCAAGGTTCAGTTTGCTGCTCATGTCTCAGCACATTCTACCTCCTGTACCTTCATAATTCGTAACATTTTTATATTTCTGCACTTTTCTCCTTTCCAGGGTTGGAAGTTGGACCTTCCTTGCCCTTTGTTTGAGTGCCTATTCTGGTTTTTTTTCGACTGTCCTCATTTCCTTTCCATAGTTGGACTTCACTCCCTCTACATCCATGCCATATTAAAATGGTCCTTGTCAAGAGGCTCCCTCGCAAACTACTCCAAAATCCTTCCTGAGCATAACCCAAAACGCCTCACGTCTAATTCCGATCACCCCTATGTGACCCATTCACATCGTTGCTCATTCGTCTGTCTTATGAGTTCCTGTTCTACGTTGCTATCCCAAGCCACAACACCCACCCATCTTTCTCTCTACATCCCCATACCAACGTAAAACCACCCCCCCTTTACCGCTCCTTGTTTTGCACTCTTTTTATCTCTATATCATTTTCACTTACACTTCCCCTTCCTTCCCTCAATTCCTCCCACTGCAGTCTTCCACCCTGTCTCTCTTGTCCCGATGTCCTTATTAGCGCCTTCACCCCTCCTCCGTCCCTTTCATTATTGCTCCGCTTGTATTTTCAATCCCCTATTACCCCCGGCCTCGCATCCTTTGATATCTTCCCGCTTTTCCAAACATCATAACTCTCTTTGGGAGTGACACTGAAACATTTCTCTGCTCTTGTCTCCTCTCTTTCTGCCTATCCAGAACGCTAACCTACAATGCCTTCAGTGGGCCCATCCCACCACACCTGGTGGCACTGCCTAACCTCTCTGAACTGTGAGCACCCCCACCCCCCCCCCTCCCCCCCTCCCCCTCCTCCCCCTCTCCATTGTTCGCCCATTGTTACGCACTCATCTTATAACCCCATGCATTTTTGCTGCACTATCTGTCTGGCCCCATGTCTCTAACCTTACGTCTCTCCCTTTCTAATCTGCTGTTCGGCTGCCCTTGCTGCAGTCAGATATCCAACAACATGTTCACAGGCATCCCCAGCACCTTCACTCGCCTCACTGGCATGACTCTTCTGTATGTCTCTCATACTGCACCCCTCCTTCCTAGACGCTGCCCCCTCTGCCTCACCCTGCTCTCACTAGCCTCACTGGCATGACTCCTCTGTATGTCACTCTCCATGCTGCGCTCCTCACATTTACCTCTCCCTGCTCTAACGAGTCTAGACTGATGCATGAACAAAAACAGTTGCACGGCCTCTTGCTGCCTCTTACATGTGTGTGTGTGTGTGTGTGTGTGTGTGTGTGTGTGTGTGTGCGTGCGTGTTTGCGTGTGCGTGCGTGCGTGCATGTGTGCGGCACGCACACTCCACTTGGCAGGGACATTTCTTTCAACAATCTCAGGTCAGGCCTTGACGTGGTGGCTCAGATGACATGGCTTGATACCTTGCGAGTGTTTCCCCCTCTTCACCACCTCAGCATCTTCTTATTGGTGGCCCTCACCTTGCTTTCCACCGCTTCCCTTGGTCCCTTGGTCCTCTTTGGCTCCCTGCAACATCTGAACTGAAGCGCTCTCTCCAATACTGGCTCTGCAGACTCCTCAATTACAACAACTTCTCTGGTGTGATGCCAGCGTCCTTAACAGCAATCACTGGCCTTGCAAAATTGTGAGTCTACTCGATCCATCTCTCACCTCATCACTGCAACAACCCCTTTCGTTGCACCTGAATGGGTGGCTGGGATGCAGCAACAGCAAGCTTTGTGACTGCCGCTATTCTCAGTGCACCCGAATATTATTGTGCCTGCCTGCTATTTTCATCAATCCATGTAGCCTTCGATTTCAATCCACGGTGCATGAACTCTCGTGTGCATAAATGAGATTTTATGCATTTGTGGGCTTTGATAGCTTCACGTGCTGGGTTGCCTCCCTTTCTGTGCATGCTTACCTTGCATTGTTTTGTGCCCACCTGTCCCTGCAGTGGCCTGTGCATGTGTGCCTGGATGTGTGCGTTCCCAGATGTCGCCCTCCATGTATTTGAGTTGAATCAGTATCTCCCCATCACACACTGTATGTTGAACCTCATTCAGGGATATTGGAAACAACCGCTTTACTGGAACGTTTCCAAAATTCATTCTGCGCCAATCAAAGCTTGCATCGCTGTAAGACTTTCTTGCGTGGCCTTGAACGGAAGCGGTTGCACTTAAGCATGACCAAACCCACCAGAGTAGCGACCCGACGCGGCCAAAACCTTGATCCGTGTCGATCCGTTGCTCATGCCACACTGATGGATCAAGTGCCACTATTTTCATCAGAGTCTGATTCATTTTTTTTTTCAGTACCACCTGAACAATCACCTGAACAACTCTAACGATCGCGATTGGAATGGTCATGGCAGGGACTTGCGCAACAACAGTTTCACAGGGGTTATCCCCCATGAATTGGCAAGGCTTGTCAACCTGGAAGATATGTGAGTTCCACCGCTGCTTGATACAGCACAAGTATCATTAAGCTCGTCAAGGTGACTTGTGGTTGTGGGCAAGGTGCAAAAAAACGGTATCGTAAAAAAGCGACTGCGAAAAAATGTTTACTCAGATTGCGCACGCAGTTGGAGTCCACCGGGGCAAAAACATTGCAAAGCAATTCTTTAAAAGTGTGCGTACTACCAGTGCATTTGTCGCACAACTCCGTGCAGAAGGGGAGGTGGCAAAACGAAGTCACTTCAAGGCTCTTAATACCATTGCCCAGAAATTTTGAGGACAACAATTTCCGTGGACCCCTCCCATTCGGCTTGCTTCGGCTGCCGAAGCTGTACTCGCTGTAAGCAGCTCCATCAGGCCTGGCTTAAAAAATCCTTTGCTTCCAGCTTCCATGTTGGTGTGGCTTCAAATGGTGGATACAAATTTGATGACCACTCTCTTCAAGAATATCATGTCAGATGAAACTTTGCAGGTGCTCTGCTCTGCTGCCAAAGACTAAATATGGGATTCACATACTTCCTACTTTGCTTGGGATGTGTCTCCCTGCTACGTATGCATCTCTCAAGTCTTAAGCTTTCCACCCCAAGCCTGTCGTCTTTCTCCTTGAGGTTCAAAATGCGTTCATGTCCTTTCGCAATCTCCTCGGGTTTCCAACAGCTGCATCCAGCCGTCCTTCGAATTGCCCCCCTTCCCAACACAGGGAAGTATCTAACAACTCTATTTCTGGGGAACTCCCACGGACTCTCAGTGTCTCCCCTTCTCTTTACACGCTGTAAGTTGTACATCTACTGTGTGTGCTGCCACCTCTCTCTCCTTTCATGCTTAGCTTCTATTCCCCTGGAACCTTCATTCGCTCTTCTTGCCCTGTGCAGTAGCCTGGGAAGGAATCAGCTCACGGGCTCCTTACCAGACTTCTCACGCTGGAACATCAGCTGTGTGCAAATGTAAGTAAGCCTCCCCACACTTTCTACTTTCTTTCTCCTTGTTTCTTGCACCTTGTATATTGCATTGTACCCATAATAAGCAAATGCGTTCACTCCTCTCACTCATATCGGGTTATCTTGTTGCTGCCTCGCCTGTGTTGTGGCTCAGAAACCTTGGCAGCAACAACCTCACAGGGTCGATTCCCGACTCCATCTCTATGCTCACCACCCTCGAGGGCATGTGAGCCTTCTCTTCTCTTCTTGTGCCACAATGAGCTATAACGCCTCTTGCAAACCATGACACCCTTCACATCTCCACCCTCACCACCCTCGAGGGCACGTGAGCCTTCTCTTCATTCTTGTGCCACAACGTGCCAAAACGCATGCCATGATAATACCATGAACAAGGTGGCCCGCCGTGATAAGATATTAAACCAGCCAGGATGTGCAGAAGATGGGTAGCAGATGTATCCTATCCATACACACACTGCCTGTTTTCTAGCCGTGCAACGTTAATCCGCACTTCAACCAATGTACCCCTTGCCATGCCATGCCCTACAGTATGCTCAACAACAATCAGCTGACTGGCACCATCCCCTCTGCCATCTTCACCATGACGAATCTCAAGTATCTGTAAGCCTCAGGGGTCTCGGGATCTCCTTATGAAGTTCCCTGCCCATCAAGCGTTCCCACCTCTGCCCCATGGTGATTTCGTGCATCAGCCTGCACTGCTCTTGCATGTGCTGCTTCTCATCGCACTATCTCCCTGCCATTGCCATTGCTCGTCAGCTACGGTGCATTGCAGTGTCTCCCTCTCATCGCAACTGTCTCCCTCCAAACTGCCTCCCTGCCATTGCCAATCCCCGTCAGCTACATGGCCAACAACCATCTGAGTGGCACTCTACCAGATGCCATCAGCCGACTGGAGAACCTCGAACAGATGTGAGAGCAGATGTGAGAGCAGATGTGAGAACAGATATGAGAACAGATGTGAGAACAGATGTGAGAGCAGATGTGAGAACAGATGTGAGAGCAGATGTGAGAGCAGATGTGAGAGCAGATGTGAGAGCAGATGTGAGAGCAGATGTGAGAGCAGATGTGAGAACAGATGTGAGAACAGATGTGAGAACAGATGTGAGAGCAGATGTGAGAACAGATGTGAGAGCAGATGTGAGAGCAGATGTGAGAACAGATGTTAGAACAGATGTGAGAGCAGATGTGAGAACAGATGTGAGAGCAGGTGTGAGAGCAGATGTGAGAACAGATGTGAGAACAGATGTGAGAAGAGATGTGAGAAGAGATGTGAGAACAGATGTGAGAGCAGATGTGAGAGCAGATGTGAGAGCAGATGTGAGAACAGATGTGAGAGCAGATGTGAGAACAGATGTGAGAGCAGATGTGAGAACAGATGTGAGAACAGATGTGAGAGCAGATGTGAGAACAGATGTGAGAGCAGATGTGAGAACAGATGTGAGAACAGATGTGAGAGCAGATGTGAGAACAGATGTGAGAGCAGATGTGAGAGCAGATGTGAGAACAGATGTTAGAACAGATGTGAGAGCAGATGTGAGAACAGATGTGAGAGCAGGTGTGAGAGCAGATGTGAGAACAGATGTGAGAACAGATGTGAGAAGAGATGTGAGAAGAGATGTGAGAACAGATGTGAGAGCAGATGTGAGAGCAGATGTGAGAGCAGATGTGAGAACAGATGTGAGAGCAGATGTGAGAACAGATGTGAGAGCAGATGTGAGAACAGATGTGAGAACAGATGTGAGAGCAGATGTGAGAACAGATATGAGAACAGATGTGAGAACAGATGTGAGAGCAGATGTGAGAACAGATGTGAGAGTAGATGTGAGAACAGATGTGAGAACAGAAAACACACTTACATGTTTACGGTTAAAAATTATTACAATAATGTCTAGGAAACGCCCTCACGGTGAATGTAGAAAGGATTATATGTTGATACATATGCGTATTTCACATCCATATGTATAGCACACAAAAAATACCTGTGATGTCCCCGCTCCACCCGCTGCTCGTCACGCCATGCCCCTGCCCCCACAGTTGGCTGGACAACAACAAGCTTGAAGGTCCTCTGCCATCTAGCCTGTGCTTGCTGCCGGGGCTGTGGCGCTTGTGAGTGGTTGCGGCACTTGTACATTCCAGTTCAGAAGATCACAATATGAAACCACACTTGTGTACGTATTGCATTCATGGTTTCGAAGATTGATATGTGTGAACAGGTCTCACCTCTGTGTGTATTCCATGTATTTGTGTGAAAGTTGTGGTGCGGCATTGTGTGGTTGTGCTGCTGGCAGCATGATCAGCAACAACCACCTCTATGGGCCCCTGCCAGACTGCCTCTTTGACAAGTGTATCAACCAGATGTGAGCCAACCACGCAAACTCAATACTCATGCATTAGCTCGCACGCTTATCCATTCGCATCGCATTGTCAGACCATTTGGTTTGACTACCTCGGACCGAACGCTCAGCATCATTTTCTACCCTCTGTATGGCCCCCGAGCTTCCCACAGTGATGTGAGCGGCAACAGCCTGTACGGGCGAATCAACCGTGACTTCAAGAGCATGGTAGCGGATGGTGGGGCCCTTATCAACCTCGCTAACAACTTCTTCTTTGGAGATGCCGTGCTCTTTGCTGCCGGCTGCAAGGTCTGCCCCACTGAAGTCAACGAGCCCAACAACCTGGACCTATGGAACATTTCCAAGTGGATGGTCGGTGGCAAGTGTAACGACGCTCTGGTTAATAACTCCGTGATGGGGGCAGGCAGCGAGGTGAGGGTGAGCCTCTCGGGCAACTGCCTCACCCTCAGCCCGAACGCGGGGTGCGCGTCCCACGCCATCCAGCGCAGCAAGGCAGCCTGCAAGGCGCTCTGCAGCATCACTGCCAACGGCCCGTGCGACGGCCATGGGGAGTGTGTGCAGCCCGACCCCACCTCCCCTTCCAAATTCACGTGCCTCTGTGATGCTGGCTACTCGGTTGTTGACTCGGGAAACGGCTCCACCTGTGTCATCGTCTACTCGAACACCACCACTGGTAACACTTGCTTCATTCATTCATTCTTACAGGTCTGCCTATTCTTATCTTACAGCCGTGCCTCTTCCTTGCAGCACTGCCTGTTCTTACAGCAGTGCCTCTTCCTTGCAGCACTGCCGCATACTTGCATACTGCCCCAATGTCCATGTCATGAGGCTTTCAGCAACCACACTTCATCACGCATCTCCTCACCTCAGCTCCTACCCTCCCAGTAAAACCACCTGTCTCCTTAACCTCCCATTCCGTGGCAGTGTCCTCTCTGTCCACGGGTGCCATCGTGGGCATTGTTCTGGGCAGCTTCGCTGGCTTCACGCTGCTGGCTGCTGTGCTCGCATGGCTTCTGTGGCCCCGCGGACCAAGTCAGCCCCTCGACCCGTCTTCGGTTCCATTCCATCTCCCATATTCCTGCACCAATTTCCTGGATTCCTTCCCTGCTTCCCTCCTCTGCCAATTTACCAGCACTGCAACTCTGAATCTCCACTGCCCACATGCTCTGTCCGCTCATCTAGACCCTGACTCACTCACTCCTCGAGTCTGGTGTTTTCTGTGTGCACAGAGAAGTGGGAGGGTTTGGACGTGTGCGAGCAGTTCTCGCTGCAGCAGATGCTGAGGGCCACCAACAATTGGTCGGAGGACAACGTGTTGGGCAAGGGTGGCTTTGGCGTTGTGTACAAAGGGCGCTCGCCACAGGGCCAGCTGTGGGCCATCAAACGCTCCACCATCATGACCAACGACTTTGAAACGGAGGTCAGGCATGCCTCGAATTCCTTGCATTCCGCCCCATACTCACTGTTTCCCAAGGTGCTGACCTGCAGATTTATTGCTCCCCTTTCCTTGTCCGTGTCCACACCTGTCTGCATTGTGTGCTCGCCTTTCCATGTTGCAGGTGCGAGCCATGGCATCTCTCCACCACAAGCACCTCGTTCGCCTGCTGGGCTTCTGTCTTGATCAGAATGTGGAGACGGGCAAGCAGGAGCAGATCCTTGTGTACGAGTTTATGGCCAACAGGGACCTCGAGTACCATATCCACAAGACCGAAAGTGAGTCACACTACCACGATTGCTGAATGGGTTTTTCTTGTTAAGGACATGACACCACCACTGATACAATCGCGTGTTCTGCTCGGCATACATGTTTCATGGCCCAGATCCTCTCTCGCTGCGCCAGAGGTTGCGCCTGGCGCAGGGAGCAGCAGAGGGCTTGGCATACCTGCACGGGTTTGACACACCCATCGTTCACCGCGACATCAAGCCGGCCAACATCCTTGTGACTGCCGACTTTCAAGCCAAGGTGGCTGACTTTGGGCTGCTCAAGCGCCTCACTCACGGCGATGCTAATGCCACGCGAGTGGCTGGCACTCCGGGCTATGTGGACCGGATTACAACCGCACCAATGTCATCACTGTCAAGAGTGACGTTTTCAGGTCCGCATACTTGTTCCTTCGCACAGTCCACCTTATTTTCCATCTTTTAGTTTTTACAGTTTTTTTTTACATCCCAACATATGTTGAGTCCTCGTACCCTGTATTGCTGTCACTACCTCTGTCCAATTTTCCAAGTTCTGTCCTCCATGTCCAATTGGTTGCTTGCAGCTTTGGAATTGTGCTTCTTGAGTTGCTGAGCGGAAAGTCACCCCGAGTCGACGCAAAAACCCACATAAGAAAATGGGTATGCTCACCAGATCTCAGCTTAATTCATGGTTCCACTATCCTGGGTGTCACTTCCTTTCGTTATTCTCCGTCCACCACCTTTCCTGCTTAGCATGCTTCTTTCCACCACATCTCCCCTTCCTCTGCTTGCATGGACGCCCTCCAGGCAATGAAGCTGGTGGAGGCATATGAGCTGGAGGAGTTGAGGGACGGCAAGATGCTGGCGGCAAGCGAGGAGGCCATAGTGGAATTTGCAGACCTGGCTCTGGACTGCATCAAGTCTCCAGGCACACGGCGACCCACCATGAAGGATGTGGCATACCGCCTCAGTGCCCTGATTGACAAGCACTGTCCTGACAAGGAGGATGAGTGGGAGAGTCTCGTGAAAGAAGAGAGTGAAGGCAACGAGTATATATCTTCAAGGGATGTTTTTGCTGCGTCATTGGGAGACAGTAGGAGGGAGTCTGGGAGGTCCTATGGCTCACAGTCTGGTGCGAGCTTGTTCATGCGCATTGGCTCGATAGGTGATGGTCCAAAAAGTTGGCTGCAGCAACTGAAGCCAAACAAGGGGCGTTGAATTTACCCATTATACCTGTATGTGGACTGTTTAGCACGCAATTATAAATTCAGTGTGAGTAGCAGTAATTCCAGAGATTAGGGTGCTACGCACATGGCAAGACTAAATGCAGTAACCATTTACCGGTATAAAAATGGTAGATGCAAGCACACAGGGAATTTACAACCTCAGGTGACAAAAGCAAATGCATAAAAAGATTCTTCTGAGGCTGACTGATACATTTGCATAAGCACCCTGCAAGCGGGAAAAAGATGCTGAAAGATTCGAGGAGCACCACGCGTGACCTGAAAGAACAAACCATATCTGTATCCAATGACTCATACTGGAGTGCAGCACAGGAGAATGGCATGGCAGCCAGCCAAGATGGGTGAAGAATGGATCATGGAATACTCTATTGGCTTCATTGAGATGAGAGAACCATTGGCTTGGCACTTGCATTTACAACAATGTGAATACGGTACTTGCTCCCTGGCTACCAGTCATGCCAGTGGATGGAAAAGGAACACTCTGGCTTACTGCGTGACAGAAGCAACTAGCCGCACCCCTGATGCGAGTCTGGACGGGAATGCCCAGCCCAGCAACATGCCAAACCGCGCAGTAGAACGATTGCCTCTAGAGGAACGGTTGTGAAGATTGTGAACGTTTTCATTTAAAGCAGCCGAGGAAGGTTGCGAAGCACCGGTTCGTCATCACTATTGTATCGCCGCTGTCTTTATCCTATCAGCTGTCCTCCTATCACCGGATCAAAATCTCCACGTCTTGCCCTCTGCAGATACACACAGCAGCAGCAGTGCAAGGGATAGGCAAAAGAGTGTGCAGCTTGCCACTAAGCACGTTCACAACCACCCCTGCCCACTACTGATGGTACTCACAGAGCATGCGTCCCCGTCTCTGCGCTGGGGCACCCCGTCCCCCTTCCCCACTGCCGCCGCCCTCAGCCTCGTGCTCACTGCCCACTATCCAATGCCCCTTGACCCTTGACTCCTGCCCTCTACCCTTTGCCCATGGTACTCACAGAGCGTGTGTGCGAATGAGCAGGACCCCATTTCTGCGCCGGCCCACCCCCTCTCATTGTTCTAAGCGCCTGCTCAGCTGAGTCTTGCCTCGCCGCAACACCCGCCCACAGTCTGCTTCCCTTCCGCTGCTCCCCTCCCGCCCCCTGCCCCCCTCCTCCCACTGCCCCCCTCTCTTCTTCTGTCTCCTCCCTCCGCTCCCTTGTCCGCCTCTTCTGCCTCGTGTCAGCCCGTGATTGTTGCAGGTGGCGTCGCTGCTGCTTCCATTCCCAAATCTTGTTCAGAACACACACACACCTGCTCCCTCTGCTCACGTGCCTGCCTCTCCTACCATGTGTCAGTGCACGATCGTTGCATGGGATGAGGCACAAGTGCTCTCTCTCTCCCTGCATCCGCTCTCTCCCCCTCGCATTCGGCATTGCTTCGGGACTCAACTCCAGCAATAGCATTCCCTGCCGCAGCTCAAGCTCCTTCCCTTCCTCCTTCCATCCCTCCTCTACCCCCGACCTAATAATCACTACCTCTCTTTCCAACTCTAGGCACATCTCCAGTCCATCCAATCTCATCCCAAAACTGCCAGCACCCATTCCGACCACTTTCTAACAGAGCTCCTCCAGCCTCCTTGACTCCTCCATTGTGGGCATCTTCACCATCCAAGCCCCCACCTCCTCCCACTCGCCCTCCCTCACTCGCACCTCCCTCACTCCCCTCTCGCCAGCCATTGCTAAGTTCTCTTTCTCCTCCTCCTCCTCCCCCTCCTCCTCCTGCTGTGTAGCGTAGTAGTACGATTACTCCAGTGCTGCCGCCTCGCTGCCCTCGCTCGCGCCCGTGCTGCTCCGTCTCCCTCTCCAGTGCTGCCGCCTCATCCAACGCCCCCTTCTCCTTCCTAGCTTCCTCCCCTGACGTGGCTTCGCACTGCGCCAGCTCAGCCTCTAGCACTGTCAGCCCCTCTATAGCTACACCGACAGTTCAAACTGTGTCTCAGATATTCACAGAACCTGGCAAAAGAACTCTTTCCCCATCGCTTTGTGAGGTGCTTCTCGCTCTTGTCCCTCTTGACCTCTTGCCCCCCATTCTCCCCCTGCCCATCCTCATTCTCATCATCCTCTCCTCTGGTGGTGCTCGCTTTGCCTCGTCTGCTCCTTAGCATGGGACAGCAGCAGCTGGTGCACCTTCAGCTATATGGACTGCTCCCTCCTCTTACCAGCTATTACCCTCTCTCCCACCATCCCTTCTCTCTCCACTCCTCTCACCTGGTGGTTCTCGCTCTGCTTCATCTATTCAGCTGCAGCTGCTGTGTTAGCTCCACGTACTGCTGGAGCTGCTGCTGCAGGGCGTACAGATGGCAAGAGGGAAGCAGCACGGGGAGACAAACGAGGGGGTCACATGAACAACAGCCCCCAAGTCAGCATGTGAATGTGCTGCCGCAAGATGTACTGCCTACGCTACTGGTAGGTGTGCTCTCATGTCGTCCAATGCATTGGACTCAGCTCATTTCAAGCAACCACGCGTGCACACAGGAAATTCACCAGCCACCGTGTGCTCACTTGGCTCAAGCAACACACCTATGCCAGCACCCAGTGCAGCTGTGCCTTCCGCATTGCCAGCTGGTTATTTTCCCCTTTCACTGAACACTCAAGAGTGTTCATTGAAAACTCTCCACCCACATGTGCACACGACCAGTCAGCTGAGCTTAAGCAACTCACCTCTGCCAGCATGTGCTGCAGCTGTGCCTCCAGTGCTCCGAGCTGCTCCTTGTCCTCCACCGTTCGCAGATGCGAGAGCAGGACACCGCCCCCCCTGTACAACGAACAACATGCGTACGTTAGAAAATTAGCGGTTGGGTGGAGGCGTAAGGTGCTTGGAATCTACAGGTGGCGATCACATACTGGCCAAAATGACAGGGTTCACCACACGACATTCTTACTCCCTTCTTTTCAATTAGCCTCTCTTTCACGACCCCACCCTTCTTGCCCCCTCACTTCTGTGACCCGCCTCTGCGTTAGTGCAAGGAGTCGGGATTTCAAGGGCGTCCGGGTCCCCCTTAGGGGCTAGCAGTGAGGCGCGGAGGTCAGGAACAGCAGCCACAAGGAACGCCAACTCGAACTTCCTCTCCTCCAAGACCTCCAAGTTAAAGACACGAGCACCCCCCGGGGACGGAAAACGGGCAGGACCACTCACCAACTGAGCGGGGTAGTGAAAGCGGTGGGAGGAGGCAAACTCAGCATAAGCAGTGACAAGAGCCGAGACAGACGATGACGGAGCAGACGGGCGACCAACGAACATGGGAGACGGCAGGATGAGCGGCGCGGAGAGAGTCAAAGGATGGCACACAAGACACAGAGAGGGACGCGGGAGGCAACTGGAAGACCGAAGGAGGTGGAACACGAGATCAGAGAATAAGGTGAAGACCATCAACACAGTAACGAGACGGACGAGGCTTTGGAGACACAACAAGACGAGACCACGAGGACACAGAAAGTGAGAGGTTAGGAAAAGGAGGAGACTGCAGGGGAGAACGGACAAAGTGTGCAGGTGCGACAGCAGGAAGCCCCTGCTGCCGCCACCGCTCTGATGCCGCAGGCGTCTGCAGCGGCTGGAACTGCAATTGCTGTTGCGGCTGAATTTGCTCTTCCTTTACCCTCTCCGGCTGCGGCCGCAACTGCTCCCATTGCTGTGGTTCTGGCTCCTCTACCCTTCCTTGCTACGACCGCAACTGCCCCTGCTGCTGTGGCAACAACTCCTCCTCTACCCTCTATTATTGCTGTGGCTTCCGCTCCTCCTCCACTCTCTCAACCCGCTCTTGCTCCTCCCTCTCCAGCTGTAGACAATGCTGCTCATGTGTTAGGCAATGTACGGCAGGCTGAGTAGGCGCCCCAGAGTTAGCGCCTCTAGTTCCATCACCCACAGAACTAGAACCTCCAGTGCTAGAACCTCCACCAATATGTCAGAATCTAGCAGTGAGAAACAGAAATGAAGAAAGGAGGGTTTGCACTAGCAGCAGTTGGCATACATATAGGAAACCCTAATTGGGTTGTACTCGCTATAGAGTACCCCACTGCAGGCTAGACAATTATAACATTCTGACACACCCCCATAGCCAAAGTGGGGTGTAATCAGCACAATGAGCAAACATAGCAGTAGTTCACAATTATGAGCAAAGCTAGTGGTAGTCACAGCGGGCAAGTGAGGAGGAGGAGGGACTGTGAGAGGAGAGAAGATGGGAGACGACGGCTGAAGCTGCAGACACACGGGCAACAGGAGCGGCTGGCACAGTGGCTACCGGGACAGCGCCCCGGACTACTGGAGTAACTGGCTCACGGGCTACGAGGAGCTACAGGAGCAACGGACCCACGGGCGACAGGCGCAGAAGGCTCTCTGGGCTACCAGGACAGCGCCCCGGACTACAGGTGCTGCGGACGACAAGACGGCAGCCTCCTCTCAGCCTCCCCAAACAGTCCCACCCCCCTTGACACACACCCCCTGCTTCACCCCTAGCTCCACTCCCCCTTCACCCCTTAGTACCACTCCGACGGCTCCAACAGATCCACCCCCCTCAGCGGCAGCTGCAGCACTGGGAGACGGAGGAGGAGGAGGAGCAGGGGACGGCACACAGAAACTGCACCCCCATACCCCCCACCCCAAACCCTAATTCAGGAGAACGGGCAGAAGCAGGGGTGGGGCGCCGTCAGAAGCACGGGGGACAGCGGGCAGCTCAGGGGAAGAGGAAACAGGGCGCCCACGGGCCTGGCGCAGCCCGTACGAACCGCGCTCGGGCGGCCCGAGGCGCGCCCTGGCCTGGCGCAGCCCGTACGGGCCGCGCGCGGGCCTGGCGCAGCCCGTACGGGCCGCGCGCAGGCTGTACGGGCCGCGCGCGGGCCCTACGCAGGTCGCGCAGGCCGCGACGGGCGACGGGGGGCGACGCGCGGGTCCCCGTCGCCCGTCGCAGTGCCTCCCGGGAGCGACGCGCGGAGTGACGGGGCAGAAAGCCGCCGCGCGCCTCGGGGCGCACGGCGGGCAGAAAACCGCCGCGCGCCTCGGGGCGCACGGCGGGCAGAAAACCGCCGCACGCTCCGAGCGCGCGGCGGGATGAAAAATCCGTCGCACGCCACGGGGCGTGCAACACACAGAGTAGCAGTAGCAGCGGAAGCAGTGAGGTGGTGGGCCCACCCACAGGATCGACCCAGGAGGGTCGACCTGCTCTGATACCATGTCAGAATCTAGCAGTGAGAAACAGAAATATGAAGAAAGGAGGGTTTGCACTAGCAACAGTTGGCATACATATAGGAAACCCTAATTGGGTTGTACTCGCTATAGAGTACCCCACTGCAGGCTAGACAATTATAACATTCTGACACAATAATACCCTCACTGCCTCCTATGCCTCCCGCAGGAACACCCCCAGACCTCGCAGCAACCAGACGAGGAGGGAGCTGCGAGACGGACGAGAAGCCAAGGGGTGAGGCAGGGCGGGGCTGTTGACGCGAGGCAGCTGTGTCCTCCATAAGAGGGGCCTCCACAGGGGTACTGACCATACCCCCAGAGCCGTCACCACCAGCCCCAGCACCCTCTGGGTCTGCACCCTCCACATCTGCACCTCCGGCACCCCCAGTCTCGACAAGGATTGGGCGCTGCGGTGACAGCATCGGAGACGACTCCAGGGTAACGTGCGACACACCTGAAGGAGCTGGACGCAAGGGGGGGAGGGGGGAAGGGGGGGGGGGGCTACCGGAGGAGCTGATTGGGGGCATCGCGATGAGGAACTGGGGGGGGGAGGGGGAGAAGTCCTCGGTACCCCAGTAGGGGCGACTCCTGTCTAACTCATCAGAAGCGACGTCCTGAGAGGCCAAGATTTGATAGGCTGTCGAGTCGTAGAACGCCTAGCCATCGGCGTCCAGAGGTAAACCAAGGAAGACGCAGGGACGGTGCAAGCAAACAACTTCTCTGTGCCAAGGGCGCGGATGTAGTTTAGAGAGCCCCCAGACTTGAAACGCAGGTGCAACACTACAAGACCCAAACCAAAGGCGAGCCGGTGTAACTTGTGAGCATGAGGTACGGGGCCCTAGGTTAAGCTGGGCGTGGCATAGCGGCCTGCCTGAGGCCACTGAAATCGGGGGGCACCGGCATGGCACACGGAGGTACGGACAATCTCCAAGACCAAACTGATGCGTCGCTCAGCGACCCCATTCTGCTGTGGCGAGTCCGGTAACGGGTACGTCTGGGTCAGGAGCGGTCTAGTGCAGTGGGGCATGGTCAAGCAGAACAAAACGAAGACACGTGCGGCTGCTGCCCCATTCATCATTGCGAGAGAGATTTCCGACGGGACAGCCTTGAAGTAAATATCAATAACAACAGAGTTCGTCGCCTTCTGCTTGGCATAAGCAGGATCCTCTGGATAATTCCAGTCAAAGGTAGGGTATACTCGGTTCTTGCATTTATGCTCAACCTGATTACGCCACACTAAGTTCGAATCTGAAGCTTTATCAAAAGCAACATGCATGAGACCATAAAGCTTTATGGAAAATTTATGGTCTCATGCATAACAACAACTCTGGAAAACTCGTGGTGGTTTGGGCTTAGTCGTGGTGGTTTGGTTTGGTTCTTCGATCCGTGATAAGGAACTAGAAAACCTTGTCTCGTTTTATATAAATAGGAAGAACGTAGGGATTTGCCGTCTATGAGTTGTTCTTTGAGAGGTAAGCTAACAACAACTCTGGAAAATTCGTGGTGGTTTGGGCTTAGTCGTGGTGGTTTGGTTTGGTTCTTCGATCCGTGATAAGGAACTAGAAAACCTTGTCTCGTTTTATATAAATAGGAAGAACATAGGGATTTGCCGTCTATGAGTAAAATGTAATATTCTCCCATCATGATGTTTCTTATACGAGGATCTACGCAACCGTTCCGACGTAAACTTCGAACCTTGTTTCGCCATAGGTTTTTCTTTCACATTATCAACTACCAGCAGGGGAGTGCCATCAGAGGCACCGTAGGGATACCATTCATGGCACCACAGAGACGCCATGGATGGCACCGCAAGGGGGTGCCATCCCAAGCCGTCTCCGCTTGTCGACGTGCAGGGGAAAGACGAGCGCGGACGTTGGGCTCGCCCTCGCGTCTTTCCGCACACAGCTTTGGCTGTCGCGCTTCCGGGGCACTCAGCGATTTATTTTGACCCTTCTCCAGCAGACCTCCATTCAGATCTGAGCCGCCAACTCGCTTGCCATATCAACCACCTGCAATACGTCGCAGCTAACGCTTCTGTCCACAGGCACAATAATGGAGCGCACGGCATCGCTCATATGCAACGTCCTGCTCTGTAAGCGCGACTGCTGTACTGTCACTGCTAGTGGAATTGGAGATGGCAGCCAGTGATGCCTCCGTGCGGCACTCACTCCCTGCTGCGTTTTCGCCGACAGCCACGCCGCTGGCTGGCGTTTTTGAAGCAGGCAGTCCAAGTTGATGTTTGTTCCTCATGCACCCTCTGCGGCCTGCCTGCAGGTGTGTCGCTCTTCACTTCCGGCACCGCCGTGCCTCTTGGACCAAGCGACGTCGCTGCGCCTCTTGGACCAAGCGACGTCGCTGCGCCTCTTAGACCAAGCGACGGCGCCGCGGTCATACCTACCGTTGCTCAGGCCAGTCCTCTGGTGTCGAAAGGCGGGAAGGCCATCGGTAAGTGCTCCCATGCCTGCATCGGATCCGTCGCTTCACTTACAGTTCTCACAAGGGCACGCATGGTCTCGCAGTTAATGCATGTTCTCGCAGTTAATGCATGTTCTCGCAGTTAATGCATGTTCTCGCAGGTAATGCATGTTCTCGCAGTTATTGCATGTTCTCGCAGTTAATGCATGTTCTCGCCCTTAATGCATGTTCTCGCAGTTAATGCATGTTCTCGCAGTTAATGCATGTTATCGCAGTTAATGCATGTTCTCGCAGTTAATGCATGTTCTCGCAGTTAATGCATGTTCTCGCAGTTATTGCATGTTCTCGCAGTTAATGCATGTTCTCGCAGTTAATGCATGTTCTCGCACTGCTCTTGCATGCGCTGCTTCTCATCGCACTATCTCCATGCCATTGCCATTGCTCGTCAGCTATGGTACATTGCAGTGTCTCCCTCTCATCGCAACTGTCTCCATTCAAACTGCCTCCCTGCCATTGCCAATCCCCATCAGCTACATGGCCAACAACCATCTGAGTGGCACTCTACCAGATGCCATCAGCCGACTGGAGAACCTCGAACAGATGTGAGAGCAGATGTGAGAACAGATGTGAGAGCAGATGTGAGAGCAGATGTGAGAACAGATGTTAGAACAGATGTGAGAGCAGATGTGAGAACAGATGTGAGAACAGATGTGAGAGCAGATGTGAGAACAGATGTGAGAGCATATGTGAGAACAGATGTGAGAACAGATGTGAGAACAGATTTTAGAACAGATGTGAGAACAGATGTGAGAATAGATGTGAGAGCAGGTGTGAGAGCAGATGTGAGAGCAGATATGAGAACAGATGTGAGAACAGATGTGAGAACAGATGTGAGAACATATGTGATAACATATGTGAGAACAGATGTGAGAACAGATGCGAGAACAGATGTGAGAACAGAGGTGAGAACAGACGTGAGAACATATGTGAGAACAGATGTGAGAACAGAAAACACACTTGCATGTTTACGGTTACAGATAACTACAATAATGTCTAGGAAACGTCCTCATAGTGAATGTAGAAAGGAATATATTTTGATACCTATACATATTTCACATCCATATGTATAGCACACAAAAAATTACTGTGATGTCCCCGCTCCACCCGCTGCTCGTCATGCCATGCCCCTGCCCCCACAGTTGGCTGGACAACAACAAACTTGAAGGTCCTCTGCCATCTAGCCTGTGCTTGCTGCCGGAGCTGTGGCACTTGTGAGTGGTTGCGGCACTTGTACATTCCAGTTCAGAAGATCACAATATGAAACCACGCTTGTGTACGTGTTGCATTCATGGTTTCGATTATTGAAATGTGTGAACAGGTCTCACCTCTGGGTGTTTTCCATGTATTTGTGTGTAAGTTGTGGTGCGGCATTGTGTGGTTGTGCTGCTGGCAGCATGATCAGCAACAACCACCTCTATGGGCCCCTGCCAGACTGCCTCTTTGACAAGTGTATCAACCAGATATGAGCCAACAACGCAAACTCAATACTCATGCATTAGCTCGCACGCTTATCCATTCGCATCGCATTGTCAGAATATTTGGTTTGACTACCTCGGACCGAACGCTCGGCATCATTTTCTACCCTCTGTATGGCCCCCGAGCTTCCCACAGTGATGTGAGCAGCAACAGCCTGTACGGGCGAATCAACCGTGACTTCAAGAGCATGGTAGCGGATGGTGGGGCCCTTATCAACCTCGCTAACAACTTCTTCTTTGGAGATGCCGTGCTCTTTGCTGCTGGCTGCAAGGTCTGCCCCACTGAAGTCAACGAGCCCAACAACCTGGACCTATGGAACATTTCCAAGTGGATGGTCGGTGGCAAGTGTAACGACGCTCTGGTTAATAACTCCGTGATGGGGGCAGGCAGCGAGGTGAGGGTGAGCCTCTCGGGCAACTGCCTCACCCTCAGCCCGAATGCGGGGTGCGCGTCCCACGCCATCCAGCGCAGCAAGGCAGCCTGCAAGGCGCTCTGCAGCATCACTGCCAACGGCCCGTGCGACGGCCATGGGGAGTGTGTGCAGCCCGACCCCGCCTCCCCTTCCAAATTCACGTGCCTCTGTGATGCTGGCTACTCGGTTGTTGACTCGGGAAACGGCTCCACCTGTGCCATCGTCTACTCGAACACCACCACTGGTAACACTTGCTTCATTCATTCATTCTTACAGGTCTGCCTATTCTTATCTTACAGCCGTGCCTCTTCCTTGCAGCACTGCCTGTTCTTACAGCAGTGCCTCTTCCTTGCAGCACTGCCGCATACTTGCATACTGCCCCAATGTCCATGTCCATGTCCTTGCATCACGCATCTCCTCACCTCAGCTCCTACCCTCCCAGTAAAACCACCTGTCTCCTTAACCTCCCATTCCGTGGCAGTGTCCTCTCTGTCCACGGGTGCCATAGTGGGCATTGTTCTGGGCAGCTTCGCTGGCTTCACGCTGCTGGCTGCTGTGCTCGCATGGCTTCTGTGGCCCCGCGGACCAAGTCAGCCCCTCAACCCGTCTTCGGTTCCATTCCATCTCCCATATTCCTGCACCAATTTCCTGGATTCCTTCCCTGCTTCCCTCCTCTGCCAATTTACCAGCACTGCAACTCTGAATCTCCACTGCCCACATGCTCTGTCCGCTCATCTAGACCCTGACTCACTCACTCCTCGAGTCTGGCGTTTTCTGTGTGCACAGAGAAGTGGGAGGGTTTGGACGTGTGCGAGCAGTTCTCGCTGCAGCAGATGCTGAGGGCCACCAACAATTGGTCGGAGGACAACGTGTTGGGAAAGGGTGGCTTTGGCGTTGTGTACAAAGGGCGCTCGCCACAGGGTCAGCTGTGGGCCATCAAACGCTCCACCATCATGACCAACGACTTTGAAACGGAGGTCAGGCATGCCTCGAATTCCTTGCATTCCGCCCCATACTCACTGTTTCCCAAGGTGCTGACCTGCAGATTTATTGCTCCCCTTTCCTTGTCCGTGTCCACACCTGTCTGCATTGTGTGCTCGCCTTTCCATGTTGCAGGTGCGAGCCATGGCATCTCTCCACCACAAGCACCTCGTTCGCCTGCTGGGCTTCTGTCTTGATCAGAATGTGGAGACGGGCAAGCAGGAGCAGATCCTTGTGTACGAGTTTATGGCCAACAGGGACCTCGAGTACCATATCCACAAGACCGAAAGTGAGTCACACTACCACGATTGCTGAATGGGTTTTTCTTGTTAAGGACATGACACCACCACTGATACAATCGCGTGTTCTGCTCGGCATACATGTTTCATGGCCCAGATCCTCTCTCGCTGCGCCAGAGGTTGCGCCTGGCGCAGGGAGCAGCAGAGGGCTTGGCATACCTGCACGGGTTTGACACACCCATCGTTCACCGCGACATCAAGTCGGCCAACATCCTTGTGACTGCCGACTTTCAAGCCAAGGTGGCTGACTTTGGGCTGCTCAAGCGCCTCACTCACGGCGATGCTAATGCCACGCGAGTGGCTGGCACTCCGGGCTATGTGGACCGGATTACAACCGCACCAATGTCATCACTGTCAAGAGTGACGTTTTCAGGTCCGCATACTTGTTCCTTCGCACAGTCCACCTTATTTTCCATCTTTTAGTTTTTACAGTTTTTTTTTACATCCCAACATATGTTGAGTCCTCGTACCCTGTATTGCTGTCACTACCTCTGTCCAATTTTCCAAGTTTTGTCCTCCATGTCCAATTGGTTGCTTGCAGCTTTGGAATTGTGCTTCTTGAGTTGCTGAGCGGAAAGTCACCCCGAGTCGACGCAAAAACCCACATAAGAAAATGGGTATGCTCACCAGATCTCAGCTTAATTCATGGTTCCACTATCCTGGGTGTCACTTCCTTTCGTTATTCTCCGTCCACCACCTTTCCTGCTTAGCATGCTTCTTTCCACCACATCTCCCCTTCCTCTGCTTGCATGGACGCCCTCCAGGCAATGAAGCTGGTGGAGGCATATGAGCTGGAGGAGTTGAGGGACGGCAAGATGCTGGCGGCAAGCGAGGAGGCCATAGTGGAATTTGCAGACCTGGCTCTGGACTGCATCAAGTCTCCAGGCACACGGAGACCCACCATGAAGGATGTGGCATACCGCCTCAGTGCCCTGATTAACAAGCACTGTCCTGACAAGGAGGATGAGTGGGAGAGTCTCGTGAAAGAAGAGAGTGATAGCAACGAGGGTATAACTTCAAGGGATATTTCTGCTGCGTCATTGGGAGACAGTGGGAGGGAGTCTGGGAGGTCCTATGGCTCACAGTCTGGTGTGAGCTTGTTCATGCGCATTGGCTCGATAGGTGATGGTCCAAAAAGTTGGCTGCAGCAACTGAAGCCAAACAAGGGGCGTTGAATTTACCCATTATACCTGTATGTGGACTGTTTAGCACGCAATTAGAAATTCAATGTGAGTAGCAGCAGTGTTTCCAGAGACTAGGGTGCTACGTACATGGCGAGACTAAGGGTACATTCATGTGTCGACATTTTTGTCTCAATGCCCGTTTTCTCGAGTCGCATCTGTAAAGTTACAAATTCTCGCGTCACAAACAGCTGATGTATCGCGACCTCGTGCGACAGAAAACGGGTTACACATGGTCGAATTTGATTGCCTCACAACATTGGGCCCACGGCTTTGCTGTTTGGCGCCGGGCAAAGCTGTAAACAATTTGGCGCGATGCAACAAACCAAGCAGCTGGTACAACGCACTGGGTACCCTCACAGCATTACACACAAATGTACATCAGAGGATCGTATGTGGAAATCCTCAACAAGCAGATCACTACAACACTGCAGTCCTAGCTGTGGATGCTACCATGTCAGAGCCTCGTGCTGTGCCATTTCTCATGCGGCTGCTAGTCGCATGGATCACATTCTACTACACTATTTTTATGGACGTAGTAGGACGGGCGGTCGGCAGCTTGCTGGAAGCCGGCGTCTTTGTCGATGATCACTCTACGCCAGAGAGCTCACACAGCTCCAACAGGACAGCCGAGCGGACGAGGAGGGCACGTCTGCGCCGCCGACGATACGAGCTGCTAGGCAAAGACCTGCAGGGCATGGGCGACACAGAATTCAAGGATCTCTTCAGGATCAACCGTGCCATTCTAGCGTACATTGTCAAGGGCATGGAATACTACATGCTGCCCTACGTCGAGCAGTACTTCCTCTCATACGACATCGCAAACTTGGTAGCAATAAAGTATCTGGCTAGTGGAATGGCATATGTGGACCTCGCACACTTTTTCGGGCTGTCAAAGACCCTTTGTCATGCACTCGTCAACGTGTGGCTGATGCACTTCCCGTCCGTCTTCAAGCAGCCATGGGTGCACTTCCCGACTCCAAAGGACCTCGCCGAGATGGCCGAGGAGTTCCGCACCGTCAAAGGAGTACCTGCTGTGGTTGGGGCCATCGATGGGACGCACATACACATAAAAGGAATGGAAGGGCACAGACAAGAGTACTACACGAGAAAGTCGGCATACGCAGTCCAATTGTAGCTGACATGTGATGTGCGTGGCATCATATGGGATTACATGATCGAGGGAGTGCTCACGACCAACGGGTGTTCATGAACAGTGCGTTACAAGAAAGGTTGCACAACGGCGACATTGCACCTTATCAAATCGTGGGAGATGCTGCCTACCCACTTAGAGATTTCTGCCTGACCCCACTACATGCACCCCGTGAGGGCCTAATGGAAGACTTGGAGCAGTGCTTCAACTACTGCCAGAGCGCAACGCGCATGGTAGTAGAACGGTGCATCGGCGCCTTCTAAGGCAGATGGCAACTATTCGCGGGACGCAACGACTGCATATTGTGGCGCGTGCTTGCAGGTGCGACTTGCTCCGTAGTCCTGCACAACATGTGCGAGACAATGGGGCAGGTCAGGCGTGTCAATGAGGTGTGGGCAATTTTGCCACGGAACCGAGACCCATGGTGAACGCGTGGCGCGGTCGCCGACTTCAAGTGGGAGCCATGTGCCCCTCTCACACAAGCAACCCTCAAGGAGCGGCGCAAGCGGCTGGGTGAGGCGCTAGAGGCGTCGTACCTTACTCGGCGTCGCCGTGAACTCACGCCTCCTCGTCTGCCTCTGGGTTAGCAGCATCGTCGCCAGACTGCCCGCGACGGAACCAATCGTCGTCGCCGCCATCGGCGGCGTTCGTGGCCGGCTGGGGGTCAGCATCCGCGAGGACGTCATTGCGTGCAGGCGGAGCGGGCGCGGTCTGCTAAAGGCGTTCGCGGGCAATTCACTCGTCCTGCTGCATCCAGGCACGGACGAGGCCCTCAAGCTTGCACATCGCGTCCGCGTGGCAGCCCTTGATGGTCTCACAGACCAGCTTCGTGGCAGCCATAATGGCAGTCTCTGCGACCCGCGGGTGCTTGGAGGACGGGGTGCACTGCGGAGGGGGGGATGGACACGCAAGCCATGGACGGGAGGTGTGGGTTAGGCTTCTGGTACGTCTGCGATGCAAAGTTGTGAATGATATAATATGCTATGCTTACGACGAACAACTCTGAAACAAAAAATATGTATCGTAAACTCACCCGAAAATGTTGGAGTAGACGTTGCTGGGGCGGAAGTAGAAGGCACCTTGAACCCACACGGCACGTTAACGTTCGTGGCGCCTTCGGCGGCCACATCATGTGGGTGGGCGACGGCCCTATTGTTCTGGAAGAGTTCCATGTACGCGAACCACGGTGGCTTGCACACAGCGCCCGTCCGAACGCCTTGTCCCCCTTCTTGAGCTGCTTGTAGATGCAGACGAGCTTGACCCACTATTTCTGAACTGCGTTGATGCCGCGAACCCACCCGGGGTTCTCCTTTTCGAGGTGATGGATGAGGCGCGCCCAATTCTGGGAGCCTTGCTTCCCAATGAGAGGCTCGAGCTCGTCTTTCATATACCAACAAGCGGCCACAAAGATCGTTTTCTCCAGTGGGGACCAGACGCTACGCTTCACCGGCATCATGTTGCGGGACTTTGGAGCGCGGCGTGGTGGCTCGCCACCCTTGGCGGTGGTCTTCGCTGTGGCTGCAGGCTTAGGACGGCCGCGGCGAGTGGCTGGTGTCGCGGGCTGCGTTTCCTCCAGTGCGTCAGCATCGTCCTCGGACTCGTCGCCCTCTCCGTCATCTTCGGAGTCGGACATTCCCTTGTCCTCCTCCTCGCCAGAGTTAGCCTCGTCGTCGGTGCCGACGGCGTCGTCGTTATAGTCAGGGTCGTCGTCATCGTTGTCAAACGCTTTGTCGTCGACCGAGCGTGAGGAGGCAACCCTGTCTGTGTCACGGCGCCCGTGCGTTGGAACGTCACGTGGCACTTGGTAGGAGGTGGCTCCCGGTGACGGTATTCCTTCAGGCAGCAGGGCTGCGGGTTTGCGTTCCGCGGCAAGGTGCTTGTTGATCCAGGCGATGTACGGGATCTCATTGAGATCCCGCAGGACGTCGGTTGCAGCGTCTACTAATGTTTTGCGCTTGCGAGCCATGGTTGCCAAAGAGAAGAGTTGTGCAAAAACGGGAGGCAATAGCGTAGAGTAGATCTTGGCAGGAGATGAAGAAGGGTTTGATGTAGGTGAGCTGCTGGAAGGGAAGGGAAGATGGGTTTGGCAGGCGGGCAGGGATGTGTTGCCTACGGGCGTGGGTACCACTCGATTCGATACACAAGCAGGGTGGTTTCTTTTGCCGCTCAAATTTGTCACCACGTCGTGCGTCCAGATGCATGCGGTCGAGCCGGGCAAATGCTTGACATTTCGACACGTGTGCGATTTTTCATATGTGACGGGGCCTCGTCCAACTCGTCCGCGATATTACCGCATGTCACGCTGACCAATGATAAATACAGTAAAGGTTGCACTAGGGTGCTACGCGTTTCTGACACTATACATTATATGCTGTTTTTAGGTGCCACAAAGCGTTTGAGACACAAATGTTGACACAGGAATGTACCCTAATTGCAGTAACCATTTACCAGTATAAAAATGGTAGACGCAAGCACACAGGGGAATTTACAACCTCAGCTGACAAAAGCAAATGCATAAAAAGATCCTTCTGAGGCTGACTGATACATTTGCATAAGCACCCTGCAAGCGGGTAAAAGATGCTGAAAGATTCGAGAAGCACCACGCGTGACCTGAAAGAACAAACCATATCTGTGTCCAATGACTGATACTAGAGTGCAGCACAGGAGAATGGCATGGCAGCCAGCCAAGATGGGTGGAGAATGGATCCTGGAATACTCTATTGGCTTCATTGAGATGAGAGAGTTGCAATTACAACAATGTGAATACGGTACTCGCTCGCTGGCTACCAGTCATGCCAGTGGATGGAACAGAAACACTCTGGCTTACTGCGTGACAGAAGCAACTAGCTGCACCCCTGATGCGAGTCCAAACGGGAATGCCCAGCCCAGCAACATGCCAAACCGCGCAGTAGAAGGATTGCCTCTAGAGGAACGGTTGTGAAGATTGTGAACGTTTTCATTTAAAGCAGCCGAGGAAGGTTGCGAAGCACCAGTTCGTCATCACTATTGTATCGCCGCTGTCGTTATCCTATCAGCTGTCCTCCTATCACCGGATCAAAATCTCCACGTCTTGCCCTCTGCAGATACACACAGCAGCAGCAGTGCAAGGGATAGGCAAAAGAGTGTGCAGCTTGCCACTAAGCACGTTCACAACCACCCCTGCCCACTACTCATGGGACTCACAGAACATGCCTGCAAATGAGCAGGTCCTCGTCTCTACGCTGGGGCACCCCGACCCTTTCCCCACTGCTGCCGCCCTCAGCCTCGTGCTCACTGCCCACTACCCAATGCCCCTTGACCCTTGACTCCCGCCCTCTACCCTTTGCCCATGGTACTCACAAAGCGTGTGTGCGAATGAGCAGGCCCCCCTTTCTGCGCCGGCCCACCCCCTCTCATTGTTCTAAGCGCCTGCTCAGCTGAATCTTGCCTCGCCGCAACACCCGCCCACAGTCTGCTTCCCTTCCGCTGCTCCCCTCCCGCCCCCTGCTCCCCTCCCGCCCGCTGCCCCCCTTCTCCCACTGCCCCCCTCTCTTCTTCTGTCTCCTCCCTCCGCTACCTTGTCCGCCTCTTCTGCCTCGTGTCAGCCCGTGATCGTTGTATGGGTGGCGCCGCTGCTGCTTCCATTCCCAAATCTTGTTTAGCACTCACACACATCTGCTCCCTCTGCTCACGTGCCCGCCTCTCCTACCATGTGTCAGTGCACGATCATTGCATGGGAGGAGGCACAGGTGCTCTCTCCCTCCCTGCATCCGCTCTCTCCCCCTCGCATCCGGCATTGCTTCGGGACTCAACTCCAGCAATAGCATTCCCTGCAGCAGCTCAAGCTCCTTCCCGTTCCTCCTTCCGTCCCTCCTCTACCCCCGACCTAATAATCACTACCTCTCCTTCCAACTCTAGGCACATCTCCAGTCCATCCAATCCCATCCCAGCACTGCTAGCACCCATTCCAACAACTTTCTAACAGAGCTCCTCCAGCCTCCTTGACTCCTCCATTCTGGGCATCTTCACCATCCAAGCCCCCACCTCCTCCCACTCGCCCTCCCTCACTCGCACCTCCCTCACTCCCCTCTCGCCAGCCATTGCTAAGATCTCTTCCTCCTCCTCCTCCTCCTCCTCCTCCTCCTCCTCCTCCTCCTCCTCCTCCTCCTCCTCCTCCTCCTCCTCCTCCTCCTCCTCCCTCCCCTCCTCCTCCTCCTCCTCCTCCTCCTCCTCCTCCTCCTCCTCCTCCTCCTCCTCTTCCTCCTCCTCCTCCTCCTCCTCCTCCTCCTCCTCCTCCTCCTCCTCCTCCTCCTCCTCCTCCTCCTCCTCCTCCTCCTCCTCCTCCTCCTCCTCCTCCTCCTCCTCCTCCTCCTCCTCCTCCTCCTCCTCCTCCTCCTCCTCCTCCTCCTCCTCCTCCTGCGTAGCGTAGTAGTACGATTACTCCAGTGCTGCCGCCTCGCTGCCCTCGCTAACGCCCGTGCTGCTCCGTCTCCCTCTCCAATGCTGCCGCCTCGTCCAACAGCCCCTTCTCCTTCCTAGCTGCCTCCCCTGACGTGGCTTCGCACTGCGCCAGCTCAGCCTCTAGCGCTGCCAGCCCCTCTGCAGCTACACTGTCAGTTCAAACTGTGTCTCAGATATTCACAAAACCTGGCGAAAGAACTCTTTCCCCATCGCTTTGTGAGGTGCTTCTCGCTCTTGTCCCTCTTGACCTCTTGCCCCTCATTCTCCCCCTGCCCATCCTCATTCTCATCATCCTCTCCTGTGGTGGTGCTCGCTTTGCCTCGTCTGCTCCTTAGCATGGGACAGCAGCAGCTGGTGCACCTTCAGCTATATGGACTGCTCCCTCCTCTTACCAGCTATTACCCTCACTCCCACCATCCCTTCTCTCTCCACTCCTCTCACCTGGTGGCTCTCGCTCTGCTTAATCTGTTCAGCTGCAGCTGCTGTGTTAGCTCCACGTACTGCTGGAGCTGCTGCTGCAGGGCGTACAGATGGCAAGAGGGAAGCAGCACGGGGAGACAAACGAGGGGGTCACATGAACAACAGCCCACAAGCCAGCAGGTGAATGTGCTGCCGCAGGATGTACTGCCGACGATGCTTGAAGGTGTGCTCTCATGTCGTCAAATGCATTGGACTCAGCTCATTTCAAGCAACCATGCGTGCACACAGGAAACTCACCAGCCACCGTGTGCTCACTTGGCTCAAGCAACACACCTATGCCAGCACCCAGTGCAGCTCTGCCTTCCGCGTTGCCAGCTTGATATTTTCCCCTTTCACTGAACACTCAAGAGTGTTCATTGAAAACTCTCCACCCCCATGTGCACATGACCAGTCAGCTCAGCTTAAGTGACTCACCTCTGCCAGGATGTGCTGCAGCTGTGCCTCCAGTGCTCCGAGCTGCTCCCTGTCCTCCACCGTACGCAGATGCGAGAGCAGCACACCGCCCCCCCTGTACAACGAACAACATGCCTACGTTAGAAACTCAGTAGTTGGGTGGAGGCGTAAGGTGCTTGGAATCTACAGGTGGCGATCACATACTGGCCAGAATGACAAGGTTCACCACACGACATTCTTACTCCCTTCTTTTCAACCAGCCTCTCTTTCACGACCCCACCCTTCTTACCCCCTCACCTCTGTGACCTGCCTTTGCATTAGTGCGAGGAGTCGGGATTTCAAGGGCGTCCGGGTCCCCCTCAGAGGTTAGCAGTGAGGCGCGGACGTCAGGAACAGCGGCCGCAAGGAACACCAACTCGAACTTCCTCTCCTCCAAGACCTCCAAGTTAAAGACACGAGCACCCCCGAGGGACGGAAAACGGGCAGGACCACTCACCAACTGAGCGGAATAGTGAAGGCGGTGGGTGTCAAAACATATAGTTCTGATCATTCCACTCTAGGTTGTATAGGGGTCATTCCTTAGAGGGTACAACCCAATTCTCTCGATAGTCTTGTACCCCTCCTTCTTACCTAATCGACATTCCTTCCTAGTATTCCAACATGGTCTTAAGAGCTAGGACGTTCCTAGCCTAGGACCGTAATTAAGGGCCCACCACATTCGTTTTCACCTGCCCGACCCTTTAGTTTCTGCCCTGCCCAGCGTTTCGCGCTGCCCTGCCCTTTTCTGCCGTGCGCAGCCCGTACAGTCCGCGTAGGCCCGAGCACAGCCCGTACAGCCCGCGCCAGGCAGTCGCGCAGCCCGTACAGCCCACGCCAGGCCCGCGCGCAGCCAGTACAGCCCGCGTAGGCCCGTCGCGAAGCCCGTACAGCCCGCGTAGGCCCGTCACGAAGCCCGTACAGCCCGCGCCAGGCCGTTGCGCAGCCCATACAGCCCACGTCAGGCCCGCACGCAGCCCGTACAGCCCGCGCCAGGCCCGCAGGCAGCTCGTACAGCCCGCGCCAGGCCCGCACGCAGCCCTTACAGCCCGCGCCAGGCCCGCACGCAGGTCGTACAGCCCGCGCCAGGCCCGCACGCAGCCCTTACAGCCCATGCCTGGCCCGCATGCGGCCCGTGTTACTGCTGCACTCGCTGCTGCTGCTACGCTGCTGCACCTGAACTGCTGCTGCAGTGCTACTGCCGCCTGCACTGCCCTGCTACTGCTGCTGCTACTTGCTGCAGCTGCTCCTCCTTGCTGCTGCTGCTGCTACTTGCTGCAGCTGCTCCTCCTTGCTGCTGCTGCTGCTGCTACTTACTGCAGCTGCTCCTCCTTGCTGTTGCTGCTGCTACTTGCTGCAGTTGCTCCTCCTTGCTGCTGCTACTGAGCGCCGGCTGCTGCTGCTGCTTGCCGCTGCTGCTCCGCCACTGAGCCCGAGCCGCGCCTCCTTGTCCGAGCCGCGCCTCCTTGTCCGAGCCGCGCAGCCCAACCCGAGCTGTCACTGCTGCTGCTGCTGCAACTACTTTTGCTGCTACAACTAGTGCTACTGCTGCTGCTGCTACTACTGCACTTGCTACAGCTGCTACTGCTGCCACTGCTACTGCTGCTATGGCTAACCTGTCAGTTCTTACGTTCGATGCTGAGGGCCGCACGATTACCTTTGATGTCCGGCTCGACGATCTCCAGCTGTTCCTGCAGAGCGAGTCTAAGGATGGCGTTTCCCTGTTTTTACACAATGAGGGAAAGCTCCCAGCCCCTGCTGCCGGCGCTGTAGAGGATCTGTCTAAGTGGCTCATGCGTGATGCAGCTGCCCGCCTTGCTGTCCGCAACCACCTGCCCGTCACTGAGCGCGCGCATTTTAGCCGGCAGAAAACGGCCAAGGATCTCTATGACGCTGTCGTTTCTCGCTACTCCTCCCCAGCTACTTCTGCTGTAGGCCATCTCATGCTGCCGTACCCGCATCCCGATCTAGCTGAGTTCCGCACTATTTCTGACCTCTTTATCTACCTCCGCTCTAGTGAGGATCGCTTCCGTGCCGCTCTCAAGCCGGCCTTTCTTACTAAGAACCCCCTCCCGCAGTATTTCACCCTGTACTTTCTCATCACTCGCCTCCCTGACTCCCTTCGCACTGTCAGGGACCAGTTCCTAGCCATGGACCCCACTGAGCTCACACTTGACTCGCTTGAGAAGGCCCTTCTCGAGGTTGAGAAGAGCACTGTCGCTGTCGCTACCTCTCGTGGCACCCCCCGCTCTGTTGGTGCAACCCTACGGTTTGCACTCGGCTTGTTGTCCGTGTGCGTGCATGTGTGTGTGTGTATGGAATGGTATGAGGGCATGGGATAATATATATTTCATGCTTATAATTGTGTGTGAATGTTGAGTCATGATGTCGAGTGTGTGTGTCGAGTCAATAGCGAGTTATCGCTAGACGCGTGTTACGCGGTCATTTGTGTCTCGCGCGCGGTTTCTATTTTGTCGTGCGCGGTTTCTATTTTGTTCTGTGTCGAACGTTCGGCGTGTCGCAGGTGTGTGCAGCAGACCCATCAAGAACTCAAGGATGAGTTTGTGATGAAGAGCCCGAGCCTTGGTGTCAAGCCTCAAGTGATTTCGAAGCTCGCCAAAAGGGTACACCTCAAGATATTGAAGATAGTTACATTACTTTGTGTAGTGTAACATTTCACTTGGTGTAGGCCCTAGTGAAGGGTAGTTTCGAGACCCTTCGTGGTTGGGGACAGTGTGGCACTGTTCCACATCACTGTATCTCGGCTCTTGGGGTTTGTAGGAGCTGGGAGTCATTCCCAACTCGTAACCCTTGCTAACTCTTCCTATCTTGTGTTCTAAGACTATAGTGGCTGCCATAGTACCGTTCGTTCAAACCGACGCTGTGTCGTCAATTCTTTATCAAATCGTGCAATCTAAATTACTAATTGTAGACGACGTGAAGACGCTCCAGATCCAATTTGAATCAGGTCATTTGCATCTGTGAGCAGAACGCTATCAACGTTTGAAGCCGCTGTGCAGAAATCCGTCTGTGCTCTCTATCTTTCGTTTTAGGCACATTCAAGCCTATTGTGACTATAACACGCTCCCCCTCCTTTGAAGGGTGTACTCCCTCCCCTCTCCTCCCCTCAGTTGCTACCGCTGCTGCAGTCGACCTCCTTGGTGCTGAGGACGTTGGCGCTGCGTCTGCTCCCAGTGGAAGGCGCAACAACAGCAAGGGCAGAGGGGGCAGGAGTGGTGGTGGTGGCAGCAGCGGAGGGGGTGGCGAGGGTGGTGGCGCGGGTGGTGGAGGCTCTGGGGTTGGCTCTGGGGTGACGGCAGTGGAGGAGGCGGACAGGGTGGAGGAGGCGGAGGTGGTGGGGGAGGCAGTTGGGGTAGCAAGGGCGGTGGAGGAGGTCGGGGGGGGTCTGGCAAGGGTGGTGGCGCTCATGGACCCTCCCGTGGCTACAGGAGTGGTCAGCAGCTGCCGCGCCTCCCGGACAACCCCACCGACCAGCAGCTCCGTGAGTGGGTTCTCCAGCGTGGGGGCTCTAGTTGCTGCCCTTATGTCCGGTGCACGGGGCTTCTGAAGGGCACAGTCTGCGGGAAGCCGCACACTGAGTACAAGTGCTTCTGCCGTCTTGAGGACGCCTGGGTGATTGAGTACTCCGAGGACCAGCAGGTGCCGAACTGGCTGCAGCTGATAGGGAAGGGGGTAGATGTGTTTGCTCTTGACTTTTCTAAGATCAATGCTGCTCTCTATGCTATGTATGTTGCTGATTATAGTGTTGAGGGTGCGTGTTACCCGTGTGTGCTATGCGATGCTGGTGGTGATGCTGCTCCCACAGGTGCTAGTGAGTCTGCTGCCGCCCTAGGTGCTAGTGTCGCTACTGCCCCAGGTGCTAGTGAGTCTGCTGCTACTGCTGAGGTCTTGCACACTTTCACACTTGACTCTGATGCATCCCGTTGCTTCTTTCGCGACTGCACCACTGTCACCCCACTCACTACACCAGTCCCAGTCTCACTGGCGGACCCCTCTGGGGGCCCGGTGGTTGCACGCCACTCCACTGTCCTCCCGTGCCCAGCTGTCCCCTCTGGCTCTCTGTCCGGTCTCCACCTCCCCTCGTTCTCGATGAACCTGGTGAGCAACGCCGTCCTTCAAGATGTATGGGTTGACACCTTTACTCCTGGCAGTTCTACCACCCTGCCTCGCGTCGTGTTCTGTCCTCTCAGGACGTCACCTTCGACGAGTCGGTCTGTTACTACCGACTTCACCCGCACGCGTCCCACCCGGTTCCCCTCGCACCTCTCTTCCTGGTACCAGCCCCCCCCCCCAGTAGACCCCCTTCCCCCACAGGGTCCTGCTCCCTCAGGTGTGTCTCAGGTAGACCCACCCCCCGTGGATGAGCCAGTTGAGATCTCTTCTGACTCCTCTGACTCACCTGAGGGGG